TCTGCATAAACCAAATTAAAAAAAAACACCAAAGACGTGCAGCCTCGCTCCTCCCCTCCTGTACATCACACCCACGAGGAGCTGAGAATTTTCTTACCATCAGGATTATCCAATATACCGTGAATTGTAGAGAATTCAGAATTTACACATTTTAAGCCAATTGAAAACAGCTGATTTTGAGATTTGCTCTAATATTGTCTATATTGGATACAATTTTGGAATTCACATTGAATTCCTAAAAATGTACTCTTTATTTAAATGACCCTGTGTTGTAACCATGACTGGAAGGTTCCCTAGTGTAGTTAAGGTTTAGTGAACATCAAGTAGCCACATTGCCGGGCTCCAAATGCAGGACAAGCACCTGGACTCGATGCAGTAAAAACAATGAACTTTATTCCATCCCATCAAAAGTAAAGCGTATATTTTTGTGCTATTTCAGTTGTTCCGTCACTTTCACTTACCTGATCAAGTCCGGATGCTTCATTTGAGACCCGGTGTTGTATGTGCTTTGTTTTCAGCTGACTGAACACCCACAAACCGGGGCTCAAGGGGGATTATATGTATTATTCCTGCAAATCTAATCAGTCTATGAATTGTCATGTTGTTTATATGTTTATATTTTTTTGTTAACTTCTATAATGAGTTTATGCAATAAACTCCACTTGGGGTTAATAATAAATACCTGGTGGTCTACTGGTGATTATTTATTTCCTTGTTGTCACTGGTGTTAATGATAAATCCTTGGTGGTCTTAATAATGTTTTCCTGATGATCCAGTGGTGGAGTGCATGGTCTGCACATGTCTGTAGCAGACCATATTAATAGCTCTTTCTGGTCACTGACAAATTCAAAGCACAGGATGGGAATCCACGCCACTGTGCTGATTCCCTCTCTAAATGCTGAACGTGCAGGAGAGCTATTAATATTGTCTCCACTAGGGAGTAGTGCAGACCATCCGCTTCACCTTCTGCCCACCAGGGAATCATTTTTTTAAAATTTAATATATTTATTTTTATATATTGACTGTATATTGCATTTGACACTTGCTTAATATACTGGTATATCCATGGACAATGCACTCCCCGCTGCCGGAGTGCCTGTTGCGCTCTATGATAGCCCTGTTCCCCAGAATATCTGTGATGTGCGAAACCCTGCCTTGCGTGCCAGCAGAGAGGCCTCTGCTTGCCAATTGTTCACCATCGCTGCCCTAGATGTTCAAATGTTTTTGTCAGATATGCCACATCTATGTTCCTTGTTACACGTGTTTGTGCACTCTCCTAATCTCTCTGATGGAGCAAATGGTTGAAATGCAGGTGGTAGAGATACACTAGACCAGCCACTCTCAGAAAACACTGGGGTCACATTTTCATCTTAAGAGCCCATAGACTCACCCGAATTACGGGGTTACACTTAACACATTACTACAGGTTTGCATACAGGGTTACTTACCCCAGGGCCCAACATAACAAAGGACAACTTACAGAGTGGGAAGTATCAAAAATCTACCCCAGGCGCAGATATAAAAAACCTACTTGTCTTGCCCTTTCTCTTGCCTAGGAAAGTGGGAGAGATCTGCACCTGCCGTGAGGACTGAGTGGGGTAAAAAAGCAATCTCCTAAATCGAACGTTGGAGTAAACTGTGTTTGGAAAACTCATGAAACAAGACTATTCTTGTTAAAGTTAAATCCACCTCTAGCGGCTGTCTTCCTGACACTCCAGGCCGATAGCAGCATTTGATTGGAGGAGTCCTGTTTTACTGTGCATGCTCTCTCAAATCCAATGTTTCTTCAAGAGAATTATTGGATTGGACGAAATCACAGGTGATGTCAGCATGCCAGCTGACATCACCGGAGGCGGAGCGGGAGGCTGCAGCAGAGGAGTCCCAGCGCTGGAAGCAAGGTGATTAACCGTAATATTCATTTTTACAGGGTGAAGGGAGGTGAACAGAAGAGAACCTATAATGTAAAATAACAATAAAAAAAAAAAAAAGATTTTCAGGTCTATGGTCCTTTAAAGTGTGTTAAATGACATTGACATTAAAAAAAATAATAAAGAAATTAGCCAAGCCTATAAAGTATCGGAAGTAAGAACTAGGCATTGCAAACACCCCCTAGACACCCCTCACTGCCTCCTGGGACCCCTCCTAAAACCGCCCCTTGTGTACCTACGACAGAAGACTGGCTGCCTGTATTAAATCTCAGGGCTGGCATATATAGGTTTGCACAGGGCAGATATATTTGGCAAGTGACATGTGTCCTGAGGGATTGAGTGATACACTCAAGGTTAAAGTGATATATCTGTTCCAGGCTGGGATTCCCTGCTCTGAATACAGCGAGTGTTAGTCACGCCTCATTATACTACATGGAATCATTTTGCTTTAGCAATTATTTAATGGGACCGGGAAGGGAGATGGTACAGGGTTCTCTCATTCTAAAATAGTAGTAGGTGCACGGTGAAGACACCAGCAGGAGCGGCCATTGGAAAATCATTTTACATGTATGTGCGGAAGACTTTCTACATACCAGGCAGAAGCTACTCAGATTACTATTTAGTTCCCTAGTTACAGCACAAAAAAAACAAACATCTCAGAGAGGGAAGAGGGGAGGGAGGTATCACTATCCGAGAATAAAGATATGTACATTCACCCACTAAAATCAGGGAGGAAACTAAGTGCACATCGGTGTCTTCTTTAACATGTACCTTGGCTGAATTCCTCACTATACAGGGAATTTACAAGGGAATCTCAGGTTTTAAAAGACAGAATAGTAAAAGTGGAAAAATTCCCCAAGTCGGCTATTTCTTTTGCGGCCTGGCTCTTTTGGCCTGAAATTTGAGCATCTTTGGTCAATGAAAGACAATTTAAGGGTTTAGTGACTAATTCTGTCAGGCAAACAGGCTTGTTCTCCATCATATCTATAGTCAAAGTTGGACTATTTTAACCAATATTGGCTAAAGATCTCTCACATTTATAATTTGCCGCGAAGTGTGCTCTTGTGTACATCGAATCACTGCATTTAAAGGGGAAAGCAAGGGTGGATTTTTCATTTTGTTTATTTTTATACATTAAAACAACTTAAAAAATAAAAGTTAAATAAAGCAACTGAATGTGATTAAGATCTATTGGTTCTGCAGAATCTGGAATGTAACTGCAGAGATACAGTATCCAGGGTTCACAATAGTCAATAGATAATCTTAATGCTTCCCATTTTTGAATAAGGCTCACTCGTGTAACTGAATGAAGGCTCCTGCCTGCTTCTAATCACTCGCAAAAGTGCTCTTCATTTATAATAATACTGCAAGTATGTGAACCATCTCTTACAAGATGACATCGTGTATCTCATACTTTTTAAGCTCGACACCGCTGTCTAAACATTATATAAATGATAATTAAAAAATATACATAATTACTAAACTTACTATACCTCCCTCTACTAAAATGTAACCGGTAAAGTGCTGAGTACACCTGTTAGTGTTATATAAATATAGTATACATACACTGTATACCTACTGCACTTACTGTACCTCCCTCTACTGTAATGTAACCTGTAAAATGCTGAGTACACCTGTTACTTCTATGTAAATAAAATATACATACACTGTATACCTACTGCACTTACTGTACCTCCCTCTACTATAATGTAACCGGTAAAGTGCTGAGTACACCTGTTAGTGCTATATAAATATAATATACATAAACTGTATATCTACTGCACATACTGTACCTCCCTCTACTGTAATGTTACCTGTCAAGTGCTGAATACACCTGTCAGCGCTATATAAATATAATATACATACACTGTATACCTACTGCACTTACTGTACCTCCTTCTACTGTAATGTAACCTGTAAAGCACTGAGTACACCTGCTATTGTGTGAGTGAAATGTTGGGTTAAAGGACCACTATAGTGCCAGGAAAACATACTCCTCAGGGTCCCACTCCCATGGCGCTGAAAGGGGAGGAAGGGGTTAATCCCTTACCGTTTCTTCAGCGCCGGGCTCCCTCGGCGCTGGGACTCTCCTCCCTCTTCTGACGTCTCTGGATGAATGCGCGTGCGCGGCAAGAGCCGGGCGCGCATTCAGCCAGTCCATAGGAAAGCATTCTCAATATGTACGCTGGCGTCTTCTCACTGTGAAAATCGCAGTGAGAAGCGCGGAAGCGCCTTTAGCGGCTGTCAATGAGACAGCCACTAGAGGCTGAATTAACCCATATGTACATCCAGAAACTCTGAAACTGCTATGTTTACAGCAGAAAGGGTTAAACCTAGATGATTTCAATGACTGTTCTATGTATTGTAAGTAAAAGTCTCTTTAAATCATTGCCGTCTGCACAATTCATTGTTCTTTTTTAATTACTATCACTGTCATCCTGTAACCCATGTGATTCAATTATACAAGATCCAGCACTGCCTCTAACTTAGCAACCTTGGTTTTGTGGGATTTATCGGATTCACTGGTACGGCAGAGATAAAGAGACACCTAGTGTCAGTGCGGGGTATTGCACATGGAATTGATAGCAGCCAGAGCAGCGACTGGGGTAGCCATAAAACAAGCATGTCTCCAGCTAAAATATTATTATTACTATTAATAGCAAAGCACAAACATATTCTGTAGCGCTGCATGACGGGTAAACAAGACGTAAAACTGACATGACAAATTTGACATATAGACGAACAAAGTCTGATGACGACCCTACTCGGATGATTTTACTCTGGCTGAGAGCCTCTGCAGGAGGGGGTTTAATATCTGTGATAGAAAAGGGGCTCTATTAGAACTATAAGACCTGACTCAGCAGCCCACACCCAGGATCCCGACATTGCCTGCTCTGCCATTCAATTCTAAGGGGATAGCCATGCCTACAGCAATATTGCTTTGCTGTTCATTAATAGACATCTATGGCATACGTAGTAAATTAGGATTCTTGCGATAATTGTTCCTAAATATAAGATGCAAAAAATGAACACAAATAAAATGAAGAAATATGTTTATTTTGAAGGAACATAAATGTATAATGCACTGACAAATCTCATCCACCAAGAATCTCCTAAACGGCCTGGCATAATTGGAAATCAATGATCAAAACCAACAATTATTATTTATTAATACAAATAATTAGAAACAAAACATTTAGGCGAATTCTTCAACTCCGCTATAATCCTAGCTTAGGTTTTAAAATACTTTGTGAACCATTTCTAAGTATTGATTCCCCTTTGTGTTTACACCAAAAGGGTTTATTTGCAGTTATTAGAGGTACACATATTGATAGAACTTGTGACCGTTAGCTTAAGTCTTACTTATAATACTTTACTCAAATCTATGATGAGTTGCAGGTTTCAAGTGAACCTGGCAGAATTTTGTCTAATCCGCAGCAGACATTCTGGCAAAGTTGTTGTGGAAGCACAAGTGAGTTTGCAGAGTTGTTAGTGCCAAATATAGCTACAATAAGTTAGGAGCCCAGTTTCTTTCTTTAAAAATAATTACAGATATCAAATAATTCAAAAACGGACAGTGGAGAAACGCGTGTCCCCAGGACAAAAAAAAACTTGGGGTTTAGTGAACAGGACAAAGAGTAACGTGTAATATTTTGGTTGTTTCCAGTGAGCAATGTCTTAAGCATTTCAAGTAAAACACTGTCGGTAGTAGTTTTAAAAAACATTTAAAAATCAGTTTGTTCCCCATCTTACATATTCACAGGATAGTGAAATAACAGTTATAGTAAAAACATTAAGTATCATAGAATGTGATGTTTTATGTTTTCATTGCGTGTTGCGGGAAGCAAAAAAAATAAGTTAACTCAACAATTTTCTTATGGTCTGAACCTTGGAAAATCCTTGTGTCTTCCCATCTAGCATTATATACTGTATTGTAATATATTGTTTCATATGTATAGATTAATTAAGAATTAATATATAACTTGCACTGCACTGTAGAGTATCGAGCATCACAATAATAACCCACCTTCCTCTCATACAAGAACAATCTGTCTTTTGTGACTGATATTTTAGACCGGGGGTGTGCCAAACGATTCCCAGCTGATGCGAAACTACAAATCTCATTGTGCTTGGAGGGTCAGATGGCTGACAAAACATTATGGGAGTTGGAGTCCTGGAGAAACTGGCAGTCTTCCATTTGCCCTTTCTTGTTTTAGACATTCCTCTACCTGTCCAATTTAACTTCTGTTTAAGATTTTGCAGTTCGTCCCTCTGAGATTTAATGCAGTTCTGTCATCCAACAAACTTTACATTATTCCCTGGGTGATACCTCCCAACCTTCTTTGTTGGTGATATTCATCGAAATGAGGGACATCACAGAAACCCCCAGAAAGCACATTACAAGTTTTAGGACTGTCCCACTGGGTCCACAGCGAAGATATGACAAAGTTAAATGTTGGGTTAACATTTTAGATTAGATCATTTTAAATGAAACATATTCACTTACTCATCTTCTTATCACGTTTCCAATTCCACCACATTTCCTGTATCACCAATAATGCACCAGATCTCGTTGCATATTTTTTTAAACTATCTTTTTGTTTTTTTACCGCTCACAATAGGCCAATTTAAAATTTGGCATAAGTGCCAATAGCGTGACTCTTGAAGTAATCCATTTATTAGGACAATATGCGGTTGAACAATTTTAAAATGATCCAATAAAACATACAAACAATTGTTTTGCGCTCTCAGAATATTGTAAAGTTTTTGTTAGGTGACAGACAGGTCTAGTTTAAGAGGGTAAATGAAGCATACCCACTGTGGATGATACATTGTTTATATACACACGTCGAGTTTGTGACACAATGAGGAATGTTGAGTGTTAATACATAATCATGCCATACAAACATGGTGCTTGAATTAAGATCTTTGTGGGTTTATCGTAAAACACAGTTCAATTTCCATCTACATTGAAAGCAATATTCATTGGCATCTCCGAAGCGCCAATCAAGTTGAGTCTTTCCGTTGGGGTCCCTGTAGAATCTGCAGACAGATTCAGCAGAGGAAGTAGAGACAAAAAGTATTTGGGAAGGTAGTTTGGTCCAGTTATAAATCAGATGAACCCATAGATGTAGGGTAAGAGTGTAGTGTCATATCTCTGTGGTGCCAGGCTCATCAAACGCACGGAATCCCCAGTCTTGGTATGTCCGTGACCAGCTATTCTTGATTGGTTCTGAAAAGAAAGGGGTGAGAATGGACGGAATATGTTAATGACGGGTCTTACTGTTCCCATTCCCAAGCTACCTGGTGCCTTGCATGTTTTGCCATTCCAGTCCTTTTGCATGTACTCTAAGCCTTACGATCCCCATAAAAGCCATATTTTTATCTTTAGCTCCTAAAGTAAAATTATGGTTAAACATAGAATGGATGTAAAATGCAGTTAAAATGTACGGGAGACATTTTAATATAGCGACAATATTTAAAAGGGTAATCCAGATGTTGACCCCTCCCCACTGTGCCTAAAGGGTTATCAGTCACCCCTCACTGATGAGGTCCATCAAGGCTGAAATGATTGTCTGGGGTTGCTGTATCTCTGTTGCACGGTGAGCTGGCCAGCATGATCAACTTTATACCCTGCTGTGCTGTTAAATTACAAATGAGTGTGAGCTCACCTGCAACTTTTAGAGGCTTGGAGACACGCTCAGCAAGTATACGCCCTTCGTTCTCCGTGAAGGAGCAGGTAAAAATGGCCCCAGAATCTGCACTACAGATGCAGAATGTGAGGAACGAGCAGATCTGTCCTCCTGATTTATTCTCAGTGACTTGATAGTTGGGATCATAGTCTTTTGCAATGAGCGTCCGTTCCTCATCTACGAATCTCTCCCATGTCACTCTGATCTCCCGTGGGACATTTCCACGCATGACGCAACTCAGGGTCACTTTTTCCCCTTCGTTGCATATCTCTGGAATGCAGATATCTGACACTGAGAAAAACCCATAATTATCTATGGGAGAAAAAAAACATGTAAGAAAACCTGGCACAGATAGATTTATAGAAAAAAAAAGAGAAATAAAAGGAATAGGGTTTAGTGGGGATTTTAAGTTAGGTTTAATACCTAAGACGGTATTTGAGGTTATGTTTAGGACTATAATCAGGATTTAGGCCTGGGAAGATGAATTAGACTTGAGGTTGACAATAGAAATGGAAGCTGTACTCATATAAACAGTAACAGGGTGCTCTTAAACAAGGGCTGGCAATCCCTCAGTGTCATATAGTCAGAAGAATAAGGAGATCCAGGCACTTGATGAATTCAAGCCCACAATGGGGGCATTGTCAAACTCACAACGGGGCCATTGTCAAGCTTGACAATGGCCCTGTTGTGGGCTGAAACGTTGCAATTGAACGTTGCGATTGCTTGAATTGATCGAGTGCGTGGACCACCTTTTTCTTCTGACTTAGCCTTACGGTTGTGATTGAGAGTTAAACACACTTACCTAGGACACTTCCGAAGAAATTTTTCTCATCCAAGATCTTGTCTGCCTTCATGAAGCGGCAGATAAACTCAGCTTGATCATGCTGCTCTTTGCGCACCTGGAAGCAGAGGACAGAGGATAGGGAATGACGCAGTCCGCAAACTGACATGCTCTTTATGCTGTTCCAGCAAGTGTACGAATCTTGTTCCTGTAACTCTCTGTAATCCCCAAGAGGTTGGAAGGAGCCTCTTTCCTTTATTTCAAGCTCTTTGTCTCCTCGTCTGACAATCCACACCGCAGTTATGGCTTTAGGGTACCGTCCAGAGATAGTACATTTTAGCACAGCTGTACAGCCATCCGTCCAGTCCTTGCACACAGTTATATCAGTTACTGCAGGGAGACACCACAAAAAGCACTCAAGAATGTACAAAAGGCAAAGGTCACTGGAAATGTATTTTGCTTTTCAAATGAGGACAGCAAATGACATATTGATAAACTATTTGAGCTCTCTGGAGCAGTTCTGGGTGATATCTAGATTTTTGGGTGTACATGAATACTGATTTGAAAGATGCTGCCCTAGCCCACTAGTAAACTAGGTCTAAAAATTAGACAAGACCAGATTAATTTTTTTTTTAAATTTATTGAGTGCTATGATACTGGCTAGCTTAATGACAGGCCTATCTGGATGTTGGTGGGGTAACATTAAAGCATCACTCCAGCCTGAAGTCGTTCTCCCAAAAATATACTATAGATAAAAATTATAAGTAAAAAAAAGAGGTCTCTTAGGATGTAGCTTGTCTGTCCTATACCAACTACAAATAATAAACAAATCAAAATGTTGTTTTTCTACTTTTCTTCCCATTTTTCTTACCGTGTTTGCACATGGAGGGGATTCCAACCGACAAGATGAGAACTGTAGCCACTATCATCCAAAATATTTTGGGTACGTACGGATCAACTAGAAAGAGAGACAATATGAATACACACACTACAGATATTTACCTACACGTTGTTTAATATATGAAAGAAATAGACATTGAGCCAAACACTGAGAGTGCTTTATCTGATTTGGACCAGTGGTAGTCCATGGTGGCCCTTCATTTCTTTAACTAGGACTGCAACTCCCAAGATTATTAGCCAGTCACTGTGTCATATCACAATAATACATCACAATCTCTATTAAAAAAAGTGTTAAAAGATGTTATTTTATTAGATTGCAAGCTCTACTGATTAGATCTCAGATGTTCTCTGGTTTTATTGGTTTCCAGTATTTATCGCTTTAGCTCTTTACAAAAAAACAATAATTGTGTGCTGAAACCAATGGGAGGACACAGTGCTGTGCTGCTTTTTTTGAGGGGAGGAGAGATCTCTTTCCCTTCAAAACAAACATGCAACATTTATCATTGACACTTGTTCTACTCTTACCTAAGAACCGTAATCGCTCTGTGGCCCCTTCCGGCACAGTGGAGTGGTGGACAGTGCAAGTGTAATCTATGTTATCATCACTGGGTGTCACATCAACCAGGTACACAGCGATCAATGAGAAAGTGCCATTTGGGTTCAACCATTTCTTCGAGGTTTCTGACAGGGGATGTCCATCTCTTCTCATGGTCAAGTTCAGATCCTCAGGATAGAATCCAGATACCAAACAAACAAGGGAGGAATTCTTTTGTCCTTTTCCAGCCAGGAACAGGACGATGTTGGGCCGAACTTCAAAACATGACTGTAATTAGCCTTTTCCACAATATGTTGTATTTTGTAAAACAATTCTCAATGTAAGAGTACTATAGCACCCACAAAACTGCAAGATGAAAATGTGATAATTTTCATCTTATGACATTCTTCAAATTGGGAGTAAGGCCAATATTGGGAAAAACTCAAAACCTTAAATTTGTTTTTCAAGTTTAACTTAATTTACAAGACATCTCCTGAGTTCAAGTCTTGAGCTGGATGTAGTCAAGGAGAACTCAGTTCCATTTATTTAAGCACTATGATCTTGTAGGGCCAATATCCAATTTAAGCTTTTCTCAACAATAATCCATGCAGCCTTCTACAGCCTTTCCATCCCCACACTGAAATTAATGTACCAAAAATGTTTTATTACCATTGTTTACATTCCTAGCATAATAATGATAACACCTAGATAAGTAACTATAGTGTCCAACCACAATCACTTTCAAACCAGGTCCTTCAGCCCTTCCCATACTATTGTCTAATATTCATTGATGTAGTGCAACCCATTAATTCTGAGTTCAGAAGACGTTTTTTAGAGAAAAGTTAACAACTTACCTCCAAATTTAAGGTGGAATGATTTTTTCAGAGGATATGGAGAATTCTTCTGTAGAACCTGGCAAGAATACTGTGCGTCTTCATCTTTCACAGTGGGTGTGAAGCAAAATGAACTTTTGACTGTTACTTCCTGTCCGCTGACATTTCCCGGAACATTTTCCAGAACATGGGGAGCAGATGTACTAAGAACATGGCCATTTCTCATCCATTCGAATGTCACATCTGTAGATGAGAGGTTGCTTGCCCAACAGTGCAACTCGTTCGACTTGTTTACAATAACTGTTGTTCCTTCCACCCATATCTGGCGGTGGTCTGGAGTGAAGACACGGTGGTCGTTATGAGAAAGAGTTGTCATTTTAGTCATCAAAGGAACATGTATCATGATAACATTATATAAAATATGGTTTTGATGTGAAATGGTGGATATTAAAAGGTCACTCCATTTTATAAAGCAGCATACAGATAATGTATAATAAATATGCAAAATAATTGTAATTTTTAAGAATTTAGAAATAAATTAAGACACTAACCTTGAATTCCCCAGGTTTTTCAGTGAGCTCTCCTCAAAGTGACTCAATTAATCATGAGGACCCAATATTTTTTTGCCCAGCATTGGTTCCTGGTAGTAGTATCACAATACTGAACAGCAACTACATTTATCAAACCAGATAAATAGAGCTGCTACCAAACCTGATAGCAACTGCATGACTCCTAAATGCAATCAGCTCACTGACAGTTCCTTTCACAGTTCTTGTGCAGCTTGTTCAGACTTGTATAGCATGCACGTAAATATAAGGTGCCTGTAGGCACACAATTCTAAGGGACCCCATGGTTCTCAACCCAATAGTAAGGTAGAGTAGAATGCATTTGTTAATTAGGCATTGCAGGCATAAAAACAACTAAAACATATATTCATATATCTATATGATATAAAACTAACCAATATGTGTGTATGAGCATACTTCTTCTTAATGTAATGTGTTTGAACCTGTGAGTATATGTAGCTGTGTAAATGTATACAGGGTTAAAGATAATGGCCTCAATTTAATATTTTTGTTCAAGCTTTTTAAATGATTTTTTTTTTCAAAATATTAAAGGACCACTATAGGCACCCAGACCACTTCAGCTTAATGAAGTGGTCTGGGTGCCTGGTCCAGCTAGGGTTAACCCATTTTTTTTTTTTTTAGAAACATAGCAGTTTCAGAGAAACTGCTATGTTTATAAATGGGTTAATCCAGCCCTCAAATCCTCTAGTGGCTGTCTCATTGACAGCCGCTAGAGGCGCTTGCGTGATTCTCACTGTGAAAATCACAGTGAGAACACACAAGCGTCCATAGGAAAGCATTGTAAATGCTTTCCTATGAGACCGGCTAAATGCGCGCGCAGCTCTTGCCGCGTGTGCGCATTCAGCCAAAAGGGAGGAGAGGAGGAGGATCGGAGGCGGAGAGCTCCCCGCCTGGCGCTGGAGAAAGGTAAGTTTTAACCCCTTTCCTCTCCCCAGAGCCGGGCGGGAGGGGACCCTGAGGGTGGGGGCACCCTCAGGGCACTATAGTGCCAGGAAAACGAGTATGTTTTCCTGGCACTATAGTGGTCCTTTAAATCATGTTAAAAGCTTTTCCAAAAATATTAAATCAGGGCCAACATTTGAAGTGGTTAATGTGAAGGGGGAGGGGGTGGGGAGGGTTACCTAACTGTTTAGTGTTAAGAAGACTACAAACGGAGGGGTTCAAATAGAATGATTGGGTTTAGGGTTAGAATTGGGTTAAATTTAGTATTTGGGTACATGGGGTGTTAAGGTTCTAAGAGAAGTTAAACCAAGGATTAATGTAAAGGGTTTATTGTCAGGTTTAAGCTTTGAATACTTAAATTTCGGAGTAAGAAAATGTTAGTTTAGGTTTTGGGGGTTACATTTAGGGTTATGGAAAAGAGGTGTTAACGGCATGTGTAGTGTGGAGAGTTATTTGCAAAGTACTACGTCTTCTGTAGTCCAGTCAGATATTAGAGCAACAGGAGTGATTATAGATTGTGTATTACTCAAAGTAAAATAACAAACCATCCGCTGCTCCTCCTGCAAGGCATTTCCTGTGTGGGAGGCTGTTAGTGGGCAGATAGGCAGTGATCCCTTCCACTCACTGTCCAGCCTCACACACAGACACTGGAGGAGCTGGGACAACACTGAGTTTTACATCCTCTATAACTGTTCCTTCAGCTCTGCTATCAAACATAGGAGGCCGACTCGACTGAAGGGGATACTGGCCAAGGCTCCTGGTAGTTATCTCTACACAGTTAAGCTTGAGAAGACACGTAATATGTGCCAAAAACAGGTGCCCCCTAGAGGATGTGCGCCTGTAAGCAGGTGCCTACTCTGTTTAATGGGAAGTTCGGCCCTGTGCACATACTATAAAGTACTTGGATTGGCAGAGGAGGAAGTATAGCTGTCTCCCTGTAGAAATGTGCTGATAACAACGGGGTGGTGATAACTGCAAATTGGCAGCTGAGAGCATAATGATACAGGAAGACAGGGAACCTCCCTGCAACATACCATTACAATATTATTTAATACCATATTAAAAGTTCAGCATTTATCTCAGGGTTGAACTATCAAAAATGGATATTACCATGTGTTTATGATGTTGGCAGACTGTTTGCACGTATTGTCTTGAATAAAATTTACAAAAAATAACAATAACGTTAATTTTGCCCACTGATTATACAGTGCTGTTTTGGAGCACCAAGGGTCCGGTCTTTTATCAAAACCATCTTTTCATCAAAGCAAAAAAGAGTGAAGAAGACCTTGAGCTTGCAATGGAATTAATGTACAGACTCGGGGTGAAAGTGGTATAGTGATTCTAGAAAGACCGCTCTGTTGTGGAAAATATTTGATCTTCACACTGAACAAATGAAAGTTTACTTGTCATCGTCTGAGTTCAGCCTCTTGATGGTGAGACTGAGGTTGGTATAACTAAAAGATATATATATATATACTATGCCGGTAATTGAAAAATGCAGACCGTGACATTTTAATGTTAAGATAACCCTGGTCTTAATGCAGGCATATATGATTAATTCACATGTTCAATTAAGTCTCACTTTAAGTTGTTGCCTCTCAAACTAAATACATTCTAAGATATAACATGTTGCGGGTTTATAGTTTCATACCTGGAGGTCTACTTTAACACCTGTCAAATCCCTGCAGATTGAACCAATCAGATTGCAGGATACTTACGCCTCTCAAATGTCCCAAATCTAATTGGCCACCTTTACTTTTCTCGTTTTTTGGGGAATGACTTAGAATTATCCCCAAAGTATACACAACACGCGTAGCATTAAATACTGTTGTGCGGCAAGTGGGCAGCCAGTGTTGCCTGTGTTATAGACATGTCTGTCAACTGTGTGCGCACCTTTCCAAAGCCTTGCAACCGCACCACTCTCCCGCCTCAGCCCTCTCCCATCCTGAGATCATACCTCCTAATTTTGGGTGGGATGTAAACTGCTTATTGACTAATCCAATTTAAATGTCATCTTTACTGTAGATTAGGATCCAGGAAAAGGTTATAAAGAGACCAGTATAAAGTTTTCTTTCTAAAAAATACTGCGCTATTTAAAATACTTTATAAGTATAATCTAATTTTACTCTACTTCCACAGGGCACGCACACTGGTGAAGACATTACTTTAAACTCTGAGAAGAATAGGAAAAAGACCATTTGATGAAAGCCTGATGGGATATAAATTGGACCTAATTTTAGTGGATCGGTGTACATGTTGGTGTCAGATTGTACCTGGACAGTCACAAATTACTGCCATTAAAACTCACTGACCCTTAACAATCAAAGTGATGCTTTGTGTCTCTTGTTCTGAGGCCAAACGGATACTGCAGGAATATCTGCCCCCGTCCAAATTGCTGACGTTCGGTAGAGTAAGTGAAGCATCTCCCTGTGCCAGGAGCTCCTCAGAAAGCTGCGCCCCAGGTCTGAATGCTGTGACTTGTCCCACATAGGTCAAAACTTTCTTTCCCTCATTCTTCCACACCACGTGCACTTGTGCTGGGTCCACAGGAGGCACTCCCAAAGTAAAATTACAGTGCAAGACGACATTGGAGCCAATTTGGGTCACAACAGGTATAGGAGAAGTAGTCACTTGCAGCTGGGCACCTGAGACACAGGAACGGTTATGTAAAACATAAAACAGTAGATTAGAACCTGTAGAGTACCAGTGAAAACACAATCACAGCAACACGCTCCTTGGAACCAGTTTTCAAACTACACATCCTCTGTCCGTTGCTGGCTGTTGGTGATGAGTGTGGCAGCCTGCAATAGCTAATGCTGCAGGCAAGGGCCAAAGATCATTATGTTCTTTGCAGCCAGACAGTGTCCACCCAGACCACTGACATAACATGAAACTGCAGAGTGCTACACCCTGCAATGGAGCTACAGCATCAGATGGCTCGTAGTAGCCACTGCAGAATGTGAGTGATGCTCAACAAACAGCTTCATGGGTGATGTTTTTCACTTCATTCACACAATCATGATATTAAAAGGCAGACCTCGCAGCGGCAAGCACACCACGCACACAGCTGCAGACAGACGCCACCGTTTGATTTCAATAAACGACACACGCTGCTAAGGATCAAAATACAAAAAGCCCTGCAATGCTTCAGGCACGGAGATGCAGATGATGCATGCAGATACATTGTGACAGCAGGATGCACTATGCGTGTGTAACCTTCCACACAAATTCTCTGCCCAAAATGAATCTCATGCAAATTCCTCAGTCAATATGTAAAGGAAAACACGGAATCTGCTGCCCTTCATTTAGCAGTGGTCACAACTGTCCCTTCTGTTTTTAATTGAGTATTCACCCACGGGAACGTGCCTCCAGTGTCACATTCATACTCACACGCAAATGTCATCAGCATCGGGAACACCAGCAGTAAAAAAGACATTATATCAGGAGCCAAAGAAAAAAAAATACAATAGACAGTGAATGGGCCACCCAGACGTATTAGATTGGCAGTCAATGCACGCCCATTTATTGAGAAATGTCTCCGCCTACTGGGGGATGGAGGAGCTGCACATTCAGAGTGTTAGCATGTATTCCTCAAGATATGTTTAACCCTTCAAATGATGCCGAGCTGCGAAAATGCTTTGAAATGCAATATATAGATTATTATTTCCCTACCTCTGCTATATTTACCCCGCTAGTTGTGAATGGAGTTTCCAGGAGGGTTTCAATAGTCGTTTACCTTAAATACGTTGGGGCATTTGGTATTACATTTTTTATATAAATATAGGAAGTAAAGGATAGCCCTTTAAGTGACATATTATATGCCTTAGTCCATTGGTTGAGAAATTATTAAATAAATATGTCGTGAAAAGAAAATGCAAAACTTGCCTGATTCAGTAACAAAAATACCCCAAATACCTTACAGAATTATTCAGTGAAAAGTGTTGAGAATTCAAACTGAATTTCAAATTTACGGCAGAAATAAACTGGAAAACTTCTCCAAGTGAGTTATGTTTACAGGTTGGCTTTTTGGTATAAAATTTGAATTTCCAATAATTGTCATATTAGTGAATTGTTTTGTTGGTCACGTGGGTGTAAGCTTTCATGCTTTTGCTCACAATTCTGAGTGAGATAAAGCCATTGGGAATTAGTTTAGGCAAAAGTAGCCCTTTAACATATACAAGGCATCATGGGAAATATGTACTGATGATGTCACCGATTGCCCTGTCTGTGGGTCTGTGACATCACAACAAATGATGATATTTCGGTCTGACAAGGTGAAACTGAGCCACAGATCTCAGTGACACATTTAGTAGCTACTTGTATATGATCAGCTCGAATAAAGTGTCGTACGGTGTGTGACGGATCCGCTGCTCAGGAATACGGTCACATTTAGCATCCATTTAAAGGATAGCGTGTACTAACCGGAATCCAAACTTAACAACCAGTGTTTCTGCGCAGTAAATGACGATGGATTTCCGTGTTCTAATGCTTATCCTGTTACTGGCGCTAACAGGTGAGTAAATATGCAAATTACTTGTTGGAATAATGTAGAAAAAAACACGAGAATCAAAAAGTAAAAAATAATTTAACATCATTTTATCTTTTCTTTTGTACTCCATCTCTCTGTCCTCAGTTTTCTTATTTGCTCTCTCTCTTTCTGTCAGTCTCTTCCTCACTCCGTCCTTCCAACTGCTGAGGAATACAATTCCTAGTATGCTTAGTGACCAGTTGAACTTGTTATCAGTTAAGTCAGGAGACAGGCATCCTATGTCTCTATAAATCCCAAGGATGGCATCTCCTAATAGGTACATGAATAGTGAATATTAAGTAAAGAAAAATCATCTATGTGGTTAGAGGTTAGATCAGGTTTGGCCAGCTGTTTTTTTCCATAGACATAGCATGTAATGAGAGATATTAGCAATTATATTGAGGGTGGGCTAAACGGCCTTCAGCCCTCCTCAAAAGTAAAATTCTTTATTCAGTTTGTTAGTCAATTAATAGATTAGCTACTATCCGTTAGTCTTTTCATTAGATCTGATCCAATTCTTGAGATATTACTTATTTTATAGGGGGGCAGGGGATGGGTGGGAGAAACAGCCAACAATCTTTCATGATGATTGATTAATAACCTCCCCCCCCACCTACTCCCCCACTACAATTTGCTGATATTTTGATTGTTATATATTTGTTAGATCAGTTCTGATCAACTAGTCTTTTCATTAGATGTAACTCAGTTCCTAAAATCTTAACTATATTATGAGTGATGCAAACCTCTGCAAAAAAAAAAAAACCTTTAAAATAAAAACACTCAGAATGATAGATTGCCGTTAGATCAGAATAAATCAACTGTTTATTTTGTTAGCTATATTATTACTAATCATCTTTTGGGGGAGATCCTGAAGACACCTAAACCCCCACCTAAACTTTGCTTAAATTGTGATTCAGTCTGGTAGATCTTTGTTAGATCAGGAATGATCAGACAGGTATTTTGTTAGATAGAACCTAAATCCTAAAACATTAAGAATTTTGTTGGGAGCCTGAAGACAAATTAGCACAATTGTTAATTCGTTTTGGTAGGTATTTGTTATATCAGTTAGTTTCCATTTGTATCCAGTGTTTCTGTGTTTTAAATGATATATTTCCTTATTTCAATCTTACTACTGATGCTAACGTGAGTAAATGTGCTAATTACTTGGAAGATGTGGCAAATATCCATAAAGTTATGTAACGTTAAAATACAAACCACTGTGATCCAACTGATATATTGGATACGCTTGCTGTCTGGTAATATAAAGGATAATAGACAAAATGCTCAGCAGTCTAAATTGCTTGCGTAATTGTAGAATTATTTTGTAAAAAAAACTATCACTGTTAGTAAGTAAGAATTTTAAGGCCAACAGAGGCTACTGCTTCCCCACCCTGCCAGATAAGAGCTAACAAACGTTATGTGTATTATATTGGGAGAATTTGTTGAAAGGAATGGTAACTAAACATTAATTTATTTGTAACTAATAATGTGTACATATGCAAGATTTACATCTTTTTGTCTTTCAAAATCAGTTTGGAATGCTTCTCTCTCGATTCCAGTAAAGACGTGATTCTATACTTCCACTACTCCGGCCTCTGACTGGTTAATAGAACTATTAGAAGGATTGTATCATTTTTAATTACCCCACCCTACATGCCAGCAGTGGGATAGGATATAAATATATTTTGAATAAGAGATCTGTCTCCAGTCCCCTCCAACTGCCTAGCAGCTGTGAGGGGACATTAAAATAACTAGCAACTATGGCCAATGGGAGGCACCTTTACAAGGTGACCACCCTTTACTTGTGCTGAGAGCATGAGCTGACACTCAAATCCTATTCATGCTGCCCAATTTAACACTGGAAAATAAAACAGTGCTTCTTCAATTAAGTGGTTATGGTGCCCGATGTACTCTTTTAACCCCTTAAGGACCAAACTTCTGGAATAAAAGGGAATCATGACATGTCACATATGTCATGTGTCCTTAATGGGTTAAGAATGTAGCAAAGAAGCATAACCACAAAAAAACTGTTCAATGTATAAAAAGAAAGTGTTCAATGTATATCTTATATCTGCAGGTTATGGGCTGCAAGTGATGGTTTCCAGTTACCCAGAACAAGCATCTGTTGGATCTTCTGTCCTTCTCCCCTGCGCATTCCGTGTCAGAACACACCACGTGAAGAGCAGCTTATTTACGGTCATTTGGAAATTTGGAGAAAAAATTCTGTTGAAATACAATGAAAATGACAAAGAGACGGTTTCAGATCCAAGAGTGAGCTTGGACTGGCAGGCCGTTAGGAGAGGAGAAGTGTCTCTGTCTCTGCATCATGTCACCACTGCTGATGAAGGAACATACACATGCATGGTGATCTACGGCAATGAACACCAAGAAGGGAAGATTAACTTATATGTTCAAGGTAACAATATGTTAAATAAACATCGAATGAGTGTGGGAGCCATTGGAATCACATTATGTATAGTAAACATTTACCTGTAAAACCAGTAATGATCTCGCACAGAGCTGGAGAATCTCAGAAAAAAAGATATTCCTCCCAGTAGACATAGCCTTGCTTTTCACTGACTTTTATAAGTCCTTATATAACCACTCCCCCCCAGGTACAACCCTACAAAAAACAGAAGCGGACGTAACCAAAGCCTTCCTAGAGAACCTCGGACTGCACATGCTGTCCCCGGAAGAGACAGGACTCCTTAACTTGCACATAACGGTAGACGAATTTGACAGAGCTATTTCAAGCCTTAACGGGAATAAAGCCCCGGGCCAAAACGAATTTGACAGCAGTTTTTATAAAACCTTCCGGGAGGAACTACTACTTCAGTTAGCGACCCTTTTCAAAGACTTTCGGACAGGAGGCGTCCCGGACAGAGACATGTCATTGGCCAACATAGTGTTGCTGCCAAAGACCGACAAGGACCCGTTATGACCTGAAAGTTATAAACCCATCACGCTCATCAATCATAGCGCTAAAATATTTGCAGAGATCCTAGCAGACAGGCTGAACCCCATTTTAGGTACATTAATAGATGCGGACAAAGTTGGTTTCGTCCCGGGCAGACAACTCTTCGAAAATACACGCAGGAACTATGACATTATCTTGCGTCAGCACGCCACCAACACCTCTGGTAGTTTCCTTGGATGCTGAAAAGGCATTCGATTGGGTCACGTGGCCCTATCTTTTTACACCTTTTTAGGCTTCCTGGACACTTATGTCATTTCGATCAAAGCCATGTACCATAACGTTACAGCACAAATACGCATCTCCGGAGCACCCCGCCCTTCCATTTCACCAATGGCACCAAGCAAGGGTGCCCACTTTCTCCCCTTTTGTTCGTATAGCTCTTAGAGCCCCTGCTGCAAGCATTATGTAGACATCCCGGGGTCAGGGGTGTGGAGGTGGGGGGTCACGAATTCCTAGCCTCAGCATACGCAGACGATGTTCTGCTAACCCTAACGACACCCGTCGCCTCCATAGGGCAGTAAGGGAGATCCTCACACAATTCGGACAGTTATCGGGCTACAAAACAAATATGAACAAGTCTAGCGCCCTCCCGATAGAAATGTTCGAGGAGGACACGGCACTCAAACACAGGGAATACGAACTTAGGATAGTGGAACGATCAATCACGTATTTGGGTATACAACTGACGGCAGACCCCTCCAAACTATATGACTGTAATTACCCCCCCTCTAACTAAAACACTCATCAGGGATATGGAACATTGGATGGATAAGCCTATCTCATGGATGGGAAGAATCCACTCCATCAAAATGAACATACTCCCAGGAATACTCTTCCTGTTCCAAGCCCTACCAATAACAGTAACAAAAGCTAGCCTAACACACCTTCAAAAGGCGATAGATACATTAATATGGCAAAATAAAAGACACAGGGTATTACACAACATACTATACTGTCCAAAAAGAATGGGTGGCTTAGGCTTACCCAACCTATGCCACTACTAGTTGGCAGCGCAACTTGCCCAAGTAGCCATGTGGCACGTCCCACTAGAGGTGAGAAAATGAATCGACCTTGAGTCACTCCTCATGGGCGCGGACCTCCCGCAATATGCCATGTGGGTACCAAAGGAGTTCAGCCCCTTGACACGGACGGGTTGCCCAACCATCCTTAACTTCCTGCGACTGTGGGATCCCTCTGCCAAAAAATATGATGCCCATCGCCGCTCATGCCCAACCTAAGTAACAGAGCCTTTACGCCAGAAATGATTGCACAAGACTTCAAACATATAGAACAGGCAGGGTTACAGAGAATATGCCATATACGGGACCATCATCCCCTTCGATTCCCTCAAACAAAGAAAACACCTCACCCCTGCTGACATCTTTAGGTACATACAGATTGCTGATTTTGCCAAATCACCACACATTAGGAAAGCTGCACACGCAACCATGACCTTCACCTAAGGGACTGATCACCCTACCATACGCCCAACTATGTGCAGAAACTAAAGACTTGGGCGAACTGACTTACGCAGACCAGTGGGAACGGGATCTAGGCAAAGTACTGGAAAGCATAGAGTGGCAGAAAATTGGGAGGCCTGTGCATCCTCTTCCATATGTGTGTCCATGCAAGAACAGTCCTTCGAAACATTGTTTAAGTGGTACACCACCACGGTTAAACTACACCGCATGCACAAAATACCGACTGACTTGTGCTGGAGGAACTGTGGCCTCAGAGGAACCTACCTTCATATGTGGTGGGACTGCCCCAAAATTAAGGCTTTCTGGGAGGAGGTGAGGGGCGTAGTGAGACAGGTATTTCATAGTCCACCACATCTTGACCCATGGATATACTTACCGAATAGATATATAGAGGGACGGCCAAAAAAAATTACAAAAGCTATTAAATAAAATCACATTAGCGGCCCGGAGAGCAGTAGCTCAAAACGGGTTAAAAATTGACGGCGGTAAATGGGAAAATAAAGGACAATTACTGACTGCCAGGGTGTGGGGTTCCAATCGAAAATTTGAAGTATGGGGTCTGTGATTAGGATTGGAGAGGGGCCGGGGGATGCATGTGCCCCCGTGCTGTGTACCTGGGGCTTTGGCCGCTCATGCTCCCCCTCATCCTCATCCTCTCCTGGGTGTGACTCACTCTCTCTCTCTTTCTTTCTCTATCCTTTCTTCTTCCTGTCCTATATCTTATATAGAACCTTTTCATGCATAGCTTACTCATAAGCCAAACATCAGCGACATTTGCATACATAGGCAGTTAACAGGCAAACAATCCACCTATAAGGATTCACACACCTGGGATGCAGCCTGTACTGATGGTCCACCACAGTAAGTCAGTCATGCAGGTTATAATACATGGCAAGACCACGATACTAGACACCCAGAACACTGGATGTTTTGCTTCATTTATTATAATGCCATTGTAAAACCTTGACAGACTGAGCTAGCCAGCCACTTATATTTGATGCATTACATGTTGTGAAATATTTTTTGCTATCCTTACGTATCACATATGCAACGCTCCATGTTTAACAAAGCGGTTTGTACATTGGCTTCATATTGTTAACGTAATACAGTCTTTGTCAATGCAAAAATAAAGAATAAAAAAAAAACATATATATATATATTCCTACTCTGATCAGTCAGCAAGCTTTAAGAGAGCACCATGGAAATGATTTCCCAGAGCACTGTGTGTTTGCGTAATATAGAGCCATCTAATGCTTCGATCTCCAGTCAGTGCGAGATAAATCGCCAGGGTTCTGATTCATTGTGCAGAATAAGAGGGAATATGGGAGTCCTTCCATATCTGACCACCTTACACACACTGCAGCAGAACCCAGAATGAATTAGTCAACACAGATAGCACATACAGCCAGCACACATAGCCAATGTACTGGTCACGCACACGCAACTACAATACAGTCAGCACACGTATCTAACACACGTAGCCAATGTACTGGTCACGCACACGCAACTACAATACAGTCAGCACACGTATCTAACACACATAGCCAATGTACTAGTCAATCAATAGATTAGCTACTTCCCGTTAGTCTTTTCATTAGATCTGATCCAATTCTTGAGATATTACTTATTTTATACGGGGGAGGGGATGGGATGAGCTGGTCTTCTCAAATAACAAAAACAGCCAACAATCTTTCAAGATGATTGATTCCCCCCCACCTTCTCCCCCACTACAATTTGCTGATATTTTTATTGTTATATATGTGTTAGATCAGTTCTGATCAACTAGTCTTTTCATTAGATGTAACTCAGTTCCTGAAATCTTAAAGGAACACTATAGTCACCTTAATTACTAGCTAAATAAAGCGGGTTTAGTGTATAGATCATTCCCCTGCAATTTCACTGCTTAATTCACTGTCATTTAGGAGTTAAATTGCGTTGTTTCTGTTTATGCAACCCTAGCCACACCTCCCCTGGCTGTGATTGACAGAGCCTGCATGAAAAAAAACGTGTTTCACTTTCAAACAGATGTAATTTACCTTAAATAATTGTATCTCACTCTCTAAATTGAACTTTAATCACATACAGGAGGCTCTTGCAGGGTCTAGCAAGCTATTAACATAGCAGGGGATAAGAAAATCTTAATTAAACAGAACTTGCAATAAAAAAGCCTAAATAGGGCTCTCTTTACAGGAAGTGTTTATGGAAGGCTGTGCCAGTCACATGCAGGGAGGTGTGACTAGGGTTCATAAACAAAGGGATTTAACTCCTAAATGGCAGAGGATTGAGCAGTGAGGCTGCAGGGGCATGTTCTATACACCAAAACTGCTTCATTAAGCTAAAGTTGTTCAGGTGACTATAGTGTCCCTTTAACTATATTATGAGTGATGCTGCCCATTTCAAATAAAAAAAAAATACCTTTAAAATAAAAACACTCAGAATGATAGATTGCCGTTAGATCAGAATAAATCAAGTGTTTATTTTGTTAGCTATATTATTACCAATCATTTTTGGGGGGAGATCCTGAAGACACCTAAACCCCCACCTAAACTTTGCTTAAATTGTGATTCAGTCTGGTAGATCTTTGTTAGATCAGGAATGATCAGACAGGTATTTTGTTAGATAGAACCTAAATCCTAAAACATTAAGAATTTTGTTGGGAGCCTGAAGACAAATTAGCACAATTGTTAACTTATTTTGGTAGGTATTTGTTATATCAGTTAATTTCCATTTAAAATATACCATGTAATAAGCTTAGACAACCAGTGTTTCTGTGGTCTAAATGATATATTTCCTTATTTCAATCTTACTACTGATGCTAACGTGAGTAAATGTGCTAATTACTTGGAAGATGTGGCAAATATCCATAAAGTTATGTAACGTTAAAATGCAAACCACTGTGATCCAACTGATATATTGGATACGCTTGCCTTCTGGTAATAGAAAGGATAATAGACAGAGATAAACAGTGCTTCTTCAATGAAGTGGTTATGGTGCCCGATGTACTCTTTTAAGAATGTAGCAAAAAAGCCCAACTTCACAAAAAAAACTGTTCAATGTATAAAAAGATGGTGTTCAATGTATATCTTATATCTGCAGGTTATGGGCTGCAAGTGATGGTTTCCAGTTACCCAGAACAAGCATCTGTTGGATCTTCTGTCCTTCTCCCCTGCGCATTCCGTGTCAGAACACACCACGTGAAGAGCAGCCTACTTACGGTCATTTGGAAATTTGCAGAAAAAATTCTGTTGAAATACAATGAAAATGACAAAGAGACGTTTTCAGATGCAAGAGTGAGCTTAGAATGGCAGGCCGCTAGGAGAGGAGAAGTGCCTCTGTCTCTGCATCATGTCACCACCGCTGATGAAGGAACATACACATGCATGGTGATCTACGGCAATGAACACCAAGAAGGGAAGATTAACTTATATGTTCAAGGTAACAATATGTAATGATCTCGCACAAAGCTGGAGAATCTCAGAAAAAAAGATATTCCTACTCTGATCAGTCAGCAAGCTTTAAGGGATCTGATTTCCCAGAGCACTGTGTGTGTGTGTAATATAGAGCCATCTAATGCTTCGATCTTCATTCTGTGCGAGATAAATCGCCAGGGTTCTGATTCATTGTGCAGAATAAGAGGCAATATGGGAGTCCTTCCATATCTGACCACCTTACACACACTGCAGGAGAACCCAGAATGAATTAGTCAACACAAATACCACATACAGCCAGCACACATAGCCAATGTACAGGTCCAGCACATGCAACTACAATACAGTCAGCACATGTAATTACAATACAGTCAGCACACGTAATTACAATACAGTCAGCACACGTATCTAACACTTATAGCCAGCACACATAGTCAATGTACTGGTCACGCACATGCAACTACAATACAGTCAGCACACGTAATTACAATACAGTCAGCACACGTATCTAACACACATAGCCAATGTACTGGTCCAGCACACGCAACTACAATACAGTTAGCACACGTATCTAACACTCATAGCCAGCACACATAGCCAATGTACTGGTCACGCACACGTATCTACAATACAGTCAGCACACGTATCTAACACATACATAGCCAGCACACATAGCTAGTGCATGCATTTAGTATGCGTATGCAGCAAATGCACCTAGCACATACAGCCAGCGTATGCATCTAGCACACATAGCGAGCGCACGCATCTAGCACACAGTCAATGCACGCATCTAGCACACATAACCAGCGCATGCATCTAGCACACATATTCAATGCACGCATCTAGCACACATAGCCAGTGCATGCATCTAGCACACGTAGCAAATGCACGCATCTAGCACACAAAGCGAGCGCATGCATCCGGGACACACAAGCTATGTTTTTACAAAAACAGGTTTTGGTTCCTCTGAAGCAATTTTACAACTCGTATCTCCACGAATGGTTTACATTCCAAAATGTACTGGACTAAAAACAGATTATATGATTTACTGACTCTGCTTTATTTACAGGTCCGGTGCAGATCTCTCCTCTCTTCGTTATTGTCATATCTGGCGCTGTGATATTCCTTGCCATATTTGGTGCCATAGGCGGGGCAATTCTATCTAACTACAGGATAAAATGTAAGAGACTGATTTTACAATTTCTCGTTTTCAGTACGTTGTCAAACATCAGTTGGGAACTTGCCACCCATAGGATATTCTGTCCATAAAAACCGATATTCTGGGAAAACACCTAATATTAAATGGCTATGCATAATACCCCGTGTGTTTAATTTCTTCATGTAGTCAGATGAATTGCAAGTTGCTTAGTTTTAAAAAGTTATCACAGATAAAAGAATGGAGGAAACTCATGCAATTAAAACATAAGGGGTTTAGACATTAAACCAGGCACTTTCTCTGTAAATTAATCACAATAATACTTAAATGGTAACTTCCTCTGGTTATTTTTCAGTTTGGCTTTTTCTTGGCAATTCTCCTTAAACGAACACTCAACACACTTCAATATTCTGTATTCTGTCAATAGAAATCGGCACTTTTATAATTGGGGGCAGAAACAGCACCCAGACTGTCAATCAGGCAGCCAGGGAGGTCCACCCTCTGTCCCAAGTTCATGCGTCTCAATGTTGGTATAGTTCGTAGACCAATAAAAACTTGCTTTCCAACAAAAGATATCGGATGGTCTAGACCAGGGGTGTCAAACATGCGGCCCCCCAGATGTTGCTGAACTACAACTCCAATGATTCCCTGGCTATCTGTTTCATTGAAAGAATCATGGGAGTTGTAGTTCAGCAACATCTGGAGGGCCGCATGTTTGACAACCCTGGTCTAGACATAAGCGCATCGTTTAAAGCAGGTAACGGGATCCCTTTATAATGAATGAAATAACGGATGTGAACTATCGAATGGTAATGTGAAATAAATTAGCACCATCATTAAGGTTCTGAATATTGTTTTGTTTGTAACGCTTCTACAGTTTACACTGAGAAAGCACTGCTTACAATTCATTGTGACAGTTTACAGATACAGCGACTTAAATAATTGCCACCGAAAATAACAAACACAAGAGGTTTAAAACACAAATGCATCCTTACACTTAAATAATTTAGCTTCTGTTGCTTCTCAATGTTGGTATGTATCCCAGTCAAATAAAAACTTGCTTTCCTACCCGTTTATTTGGCGATTCTTACTTATTTTGTGTTTTTCTTTTTTAGCCAAACCCCAGATATCGGTTGATCTAGACAAGAACGCAGATTCGAAATCAGGTAATGGGATCCTCTTATAATGAATGACATAATGAAAGTGAAAAATCAAATGGTAAAGTGAAATGACTTTAGATAATCAGGGCCGCCATAACGGTTGTCACGGGCCCGGCGGCCCTGGGGGGCCCGGCCCCCACATGTGGGGCCCATCGGGTGGCCCACACACTTAGGGCCACCCGATGGGCCCTATATCTTCAGTGGCCCGGTCAGCGCTGTGGCCGCGACCGGGCCCCTTTAAAAAAAAAAAAAAAAACGCAAGTGCTGCTGGGAGGAAGCGGTCACTTCCTCCCAGCCCACTCCGCGCAGGAAGAGCGCGCGCGCCGGTGAAGAGGGATCCGCGCCGACTCCCATCATCCCCAGCCACCCTCCTGCAAAGAAAAGGTAAGAGACAGGAGGGTGGCTGGAAAATTAGTGTGTGTCTGTATGTCTGTCTCTGTATGTATGTCTGTCTGCATGTATGTCTATGTATGTACGTATGTATGTCTGTGTGTGTCTGTATGTATGTATGTGTATGTCTGTCTGTAGGCATGCATGTATGTCTGTCTCTGTATGTATATCTGTCTCTGTATGTATATCTGTCTGTCTGTATGCATGTATGTCTCTGTATGTATGTATGTATGTGTATGTCTGTATGTATGCATGTATGTATGTCTGTCTGTATGCATGTCTGTCTGTCTGTATGCATGTTTGTCTGTATGTCTGTGTATGTATGTGTATGTCTGTATGTCTGTCTGTAGGCATGCATGTATGTCTATGTATGTATGTATGTCTGTCTGTGTATGTATGTCTGTCTGCATGTATGTCTATGTATGTATGTATGTATGTCTGTGTGTGTCTGTATGTATGTGTATGTATGTATGTGTATGTATGTATGTGTATGTCTGTATGTCTGTCTGTAGGCATGCATGTATGTCTGTCTCTGTATGTATATCTGTCTCTGTATGTATATCTGTCTGTCTGTATGCATGTATGTCTCTGTATGTATGTATGTATGTATGTGTATGTCTGTATGTATGCATGCATGTATGTCTATGGATGTATGTATGTCTGTATGTATGCATGCATGTATGTATGTCTGTCTGTATGCATGTATGTCTGTATGTATGTGTATGTCTGTATGTCTGTCTGTAGACATGCATGTATGTCTATGTATGTATGTCTGTCTGTGTATGTATGTATGTCTCTGTATGTATGTCTGTCTGCATGTATGTCTATGTATGTACGTATGTATGTCTGTGTGTGTCTGTATGTATGTCTGTGTGTATGTCTATGTCTGTCTGTCTGTCTGTATGCATGTATGTCTATGTCTGTATGTCTGTGTATGTATGTATGTATGTATGTATGTATGTGTATGTCTGTATGTCTGTCTGTAGGCATGCATGTATGTCTGTCTCTGTATGTATATCTGTCTGTCTGTATGCATGTATGTCTCTGTATGTCTGTATGTATGTCTGTATGCATGCATGTATGTCTATGGATGTATGTATGTCTGTATGCATGTATGTATGTCTGTCTGTATGCATGGCTGTCTGTCTGTATGTATGTATGTCTATGTCTGTCTGTCTGTATGCATGTATGTCTGTGTATGTATGTGTATGTCTGTATGTCTGTCTGTAGGCATGCATGTATGTCTATGTATGTCTGTCTGTCTGTCTCTGTATGTATATCTGTCTGTCTGTATGTATGTCTATGTATGTATGTCTGTATGTATGTATGTCTGTGTGTATGTCTATGTTTGTCTGTCTGACTGTATGCATGCATGTATGTCTATGTATGTATGTCTGTCTGTATGTATGTGTATGTCTGTATGCATGCATGTATGTCTATGGATGTATGTCTATGGATGTATGTATGTCTGTATGCATGTATGTCTGTCTGTATGTATGTCTATGTATATATATATATATATATATATGTATGTCTGTATGTCATTATATATGTATGTCTGTATGTCAGTATGAATGTATGCCTGCATATCATTATGATAGTATGTCTGTGTGTATGTGTGTATGGATGTCTGTCAGTATGTCTGTATATATGTATGTATGTATGTATGTATGTCTGTATGCCATTATGAATGTATGTCTGTTTATGTCTGTATGCCATTATGAATGTATGTGTGTATGGATGACAGTGTCTGTATGTCGGTCAGTATGTCTGTGTGTGTGTATGTATGTATGTATGTATGTCGGTGTCTGTATGTATGTGTCTTTATGTCCTCATGCATGTGTGTCTGTATGTATGTTAGTATGTGTCTGTCTGTCACTATGTATGCCTGTGTGTATGTCTCAGTATGTATGCCTGTATGCGTGTATGTCTGTTTTAGTATGTGTGTCTGTTAGTATGTATCTCTGTCTTTTTGTATCAGTGTGTGTGTTTGTGTCTGTGTGTGTATTCCTGTGGGCGGTATTTGGAGGCGGACCCAGCGGGCGGTATTTGGAGGCGGGCCCCAGGGGGCCCAGACCCTGAGCTGAGTTAGGGGCCCCAGAATTTCTGGTGGCGGCCCTGTAAATGATCATTGAGGTTCTGAACATTGTCTTTTCTCCATATCAATTGTTTGGTAAGTGTGGCTATAGTGGTGACAGTCAGTATCTGGCCCAGGCTGGGATGGATTCCAGCCAAATAAAAACTTGCTTTCCTACCCGTTTATTTGGCGATTCTTACTTATTTTGGTGTTTTTCTTTTTTAGCCAAAAGCCAGATATCGGTTGATCTAGACAAGAACGCAGATTCGAAATCAGGTAATGGGATCCTCTTATAATGAATGACATAATGAAAGTGAAAAATCAAATGGTAAAGTGAAATGACTTTAGATGATCATTGAGGTTCTGAACATTGTCTTTTCTCCATATCGATTGTTTGGTAAGTGTGGCTATAGTGGTGACAGCCAGTATCTGGCCCAGGCTGGGTTGGATTCCAGCCAAATAAAAATTTGCTTTCCTACTCGTTGATACCTACTTACTCAACACTTTTATTTTCCAGTAAACCACCAGGTATCGGAGGACCTAGAAGAGAAGGAGGTGTCTAAATCAGGTAACGGGATCCTCTTATGTTTTGACACAAGGGATGTGAAAAAACCAATGGTAAAGTGAAATACATTTATTGTGAGTGACAATTATCAGATAAAGCGACAGAGAAACTACCAAATTTAAACAGAGGCTTAAAACACAAAGAGACACACATCTTTACACTTTAGTAATTTATTATCAGATAGTACTACTTTTTATAAAGCACCAACATTATCTGCATCATTGTACAGTGGGGGAACATAGTATAGGCCTAGGGCTATAACTGGGCCATGCTGGCATAAAAAGCCCCTGACATTCGTGTGGGGATCCCTCCCCTGGGTTCTGGCCCCATTGGGATTCCACTAGACTCGTGGCCTCTTACAGAGATCCACAGCCTCACTGGGAGCCAATAGAACTGAATATCTAACTGGGTCCCATGTCGGGAAACCTAGTCTGACTGTGTGTGCGTGTATGAGGATCACTCTATGTATGTCAACATGCATGAGTGTGATCGCATCTAGTTTGTGTAAAAACACAAAACATATTACTTTCACATGACTGAATATTCACTATAGCTCTGTTTTTTGTATATTTCGAAGCAACTTCTATTTAATCTCTTTGTGTTACAGACAAATGTCAGGGACCCGTAGTGGAAGATATCGTAGTACCACGTTTCCTACACGGTACTGAGGCCACTCTTCAATGCACAGTTAGAGGCTTATTGTTTCCTAATTTCCTGAAAATGGATTGGGTGAGAAAACCACCTCCTGGCTTGGAAGACTACCCTGCGGATCCCGAAGGAAAATATCGGGAACCAAAGATAGACGTGTCTTTACAGGAAGATCACACATTCACCTGTACAGCCCGTCTAATAATATTTGTCACGTCAGCAACTGAAGATTGTGCAGAGTATGTATGCCGGGTAACACATCCTAGTCTAGAGAGTCCCCAGGAGAGAAGGACAGGGAAGATTCACGTGACAGGTGAGTTTTATGTCTCCATCACTGTAACTGAGCTCCGGTACACAGCTAGAGTATCTCCACTAGTCGGCCTATATAATCCCAGCGCACGCTCAAGCAGTGTTTGTTTTTTTGTAAGTGCCTTGCTTTGGACTCCTGGTATCCTGTGCATTCTCCTGTATGTTTCCCTCTGGTAATTCATTTCCCAGTTTCTTTCTCCTGACCTTGTTTCTCGCTGCCTGCCCTGACAATTGCTCGCCTGTTCCCCCTCAGATAACGTTGTCTTGGAGCAATAATACACCATATGACGATGATGCTATATCCCTACACACTCAAATACAAACAGAAAGAAAAGATTTATGAGTGTAAATCCACTTAACCGAAATCAGACGTGGATACTCGTTCCTATTTGCAACAGATAAAATTTAACTTTTAAAAACGCTTAACGTCAATATAAGTGTGAACCGCTTTCATCACTAAAAACTAAAGAAATCAAGTATAAAAGAAACAAAAGGAAAATGTCACTAGGCGTTCATAAGGTGATACAGAAGACAAGTGGAATTTTTGATAATTACAGAAAGTATAGGAACACATTTAATTCTTCTACTCTGTCTAGAAAACAAATCTTCCATTCTCTTTATAATATACTATAGCATGCTCCGATCACATCCAATCATAATGAACCCAACAATAAAACTACTTGTTTATTGGTAGGTATCCAGTGCTTGGATCTATTGCAATTACTTTTCTTTGTACACCATACAAAAGAGACTGATTGTACGTATATACACACAAAATATTAAATGTATGAAAAAAGGTCACTGGTGTCACCACAAGGGCTATAAATTCGAAACATGATGTCATGTTCATTGCGATAAGGATTTTATTTTTCATGGTATATAGACATTGTTAATGATAAACAAAATTTTTTAAATTTACTTAATTTTATGTGATTGATTGATTATATTTATATCTTTAGGAATTCCAGTTCCCAGGATTGCATGCGAAACGATCAAAACGAAAAAAACGTTACAGTTAGAAATGGATGATGTTTTTCCTCTACAAGTTGAGGTGACTTGGTGTCAATGGTCACCCAGAGGGTGGATCCGTTACCCAGCCAGAATGATTAAAAAGATGTGGGACATAAATGCTGATGGCACTTATTTTGTAATAAGCAAATTGGACGACCCGATGGGCCACAAAAAATATCGAAAAATTATTAAAGTTATGATAAGACACGAATCCCTGCAATCTCCCAGAGAGATAATCATCGTACGGGAGAAAGGTAGGTACATTAAATTCAAAACTCTTATTTAAAACAAACTCCAAGATCAAAAAATACATTATTGTTAAAGTGTTACTCCTAGAACCATAGCCACTTCATTGATTTGAAATGGTCACGATGCATGGGGCCTATATGTGCAGCGTTTCGCTATGACTGAGCTCTCATAATAAGAAAACCCCTCAATTAGGCTTTTCCATGCTATGTCAGCTATGATATGGAATGGGAAAAAATGACACAAAATTAAATTCAAGTCAATAAGAGCCCTCTAATTAAATTAATTCACTTAACTAGAACGTAAAGGTAATTTGCACAGTATTATATTACTTTGAGATTTAGTTGTTAGATAGTGGTGATCTATCTGAATGTATTATTTGCAAATATGTGAAAACAATTTGAGGACTTTTTAAATTCGTCAAATAAAAGTCAAATTGTACATATTGAATAATTTAATACATGCTGTTTTTATTTGTGATCACATCAGACAGACTGTAAGCTCATTTGAGCACGTTCCTCATCAACCTATTGTTCCCGTTGCGTTTTGCAATTGTCTCGTTTATAGATAAATCCCCCCCTTATAATATTGTAAAGCACCGCAGAATAAGTTGCCACTATATAAATGCTAATAAGAATAATGAAAGGATAGAGAGTCACAGGTGAAGGGGAAGTGGGATTGAGTATAGAAAAAAGACAAGAGAAAAGGATGAGGGTTAAGATATTTTCCAGAGTTTTTTTTGTTTTACAAATACTGCATTAAACACTCCATTTACAAATAAAAATAAAAATAGATTTGACAATTTAGTAGAAATAACCCCCAATGAAAACATGTATGTAAATCTTTTTGTATGTTTTCTTAGGTGTCATATAAAATATTAGCTAGCTTGCAATAGCTAGAGATCTACTATACTAATATTAATCTCAATATATTTTTTTCCTGTAGGTGTTTATTATCTACAAACAACAGATGGGAAAATAAAGATTTATCCACGAAAAAATCCCAGATATTTATTAGAGAAATATTACAAAATGCCAATGCATTCCACTGAATATTATAGGTAAGATTCCACTTTATGGGATAATGTACGTAGTCTTTATTCTGGTCACTTGAAGTATTATAGATCAATGAACAGATTAAAAAATAGTCAATAATTTAGCTTATAGAAACATTATCTATCTTAATAAAGACACTGGTACTCACAATGATAAATTAAAAAAGACAAAAAACAAAACAGTGCAATCTTAGTATAACATTTTATATTAAGTTTTACTTTTATTGAATATATTGAAAACTTAAATATTGTTTCTTTGTTTTTTAAAACACGTGTAGAGTGTGTCAGTGCAGTTTTTAACTGCAAAATTAAAATATTCTACTTATATCATCAGCAAAGGCAAACTAGAGCATCTGTCAAACAATACTTCAGACTAAAACAAAACTTTGGGGCTGAAGGAAACAGAAGACTGCATTTTCCTTGCCTGTTTTGTCAATGTGATTGTGTTTGTTACCTTAGTTCCTCTTTGAAGCTGGGACCACCACAGTGGTCAGATGACAGAAGGGGTAATGTAAATTGCATAGGAATGTGAAAAGGGAAAGCTGGATTCTGTGATTAATCAAAGGCTCTGCAAGGTGTGAGATTCTACACTTGAAAAGCCTGAATTTCTGGCTTCAGCCTTATGGCCTGTACTTCTTAATTGATGAGTCAATGTCTTTTATATGTTAGTGGCCATTAGCCTTCTTCCAGTATCATATCCAAAAGAAAAAAAAACATTAATATTTGCCCACAGAATAATAATTAAGCCTCATTTTTGTTATATTTGGAATGTGAGAAGCGCCATCTTCTAAACAAGCTTCAAAAAGTTTGGCATAACCATAGGGGAAGTGATTGTGATGTCTGCTATATTGGGTCGCAAGTAAGACCGATGACATATCTATGGAATGGAAAAATAATAACAAATTTGTAGATGCAATTATTATCTCTGTGGCACGTACATAAGAGAAGCTCAAACCAAATGTTTCCATTTGGATTGATGTGGGTCTGGACACAAGGGGGTGGTCACCTAGTGTCTCTATAGATACGCCTTAACTCCACCTCTGGGTGAGGCGTGGTAATCCACAGGGTATATCTCTAATGATACTGAAGTGTGCATTGTACTTGCTTGGGGCCAAAATCTAATTTTGAGTAAGTCACCATCTTCCTTGCCGGAGACCTCCTGGATAGAAGTTTTATTTTGAAAACCTAAGTGAGTAAGTGTTTAGGACTTAATAAATATTCCTTTCTTAAGTTCTTCCTTTGTCTGGTAAAGAATCACGCTACCCGAAGAGACTAATTAGTATTTTGCAATTACATAGATAATGTGTTAAGTTACATTTGGTGGGTTTTTATTAGTAAGTTACCTAGGGGACCAAGGCACTCGATTTATAAATTGTCTTGGTGGTGGCAGCGTTAAAATAGCAATAGTTATATTATTATGTTTAAGTGTGGGTGGTGTTCAGGGGGATTTTATCATTATTTCCGGTTTAGTGCAGACAAATAGTGAACTCTTGAAGTAGGGTGCGTTCGTTACAAACCCATTTTGTACAAATTAATAGATATTGCTAACACTCCGCTTTTATGGGGTGATTGTGAATAACCTCTGCTGGAATGCCTAACCTAATCCCATCCATCATCTTCTGTACCTGGCTGAATGTTAGAACTTACACAAAGTGATAGAAGATTGAATTATACTTGAAATATATTATTCAGAGAACAGCAAAATAATTACAGCTGTCCTGAGTCACTTAGTATGGAGACAGATTTACTTAATTAAGGTGATACCTGGTCCAGTGTCTAAAATAGATGATACAAAATATCTTGAGTACCTGAGTGTGTGATTATACCTTAGATGGTCAGTTACATTGTATAATTGTTTGTTTGTACCCTTCTTTTTAGTGCACGACTATAGACATCGAAGATTAAGAAGAGCTATCTCACTGCCTGCAAACATGAAAAACAGTATCTTCTTGTATCACCACCATAAGCCAATTGAGAGGGACAAATGTGATGACAGACTGTTCATGAAAAATCTGTCATCATTTTCGTTTACACCAGTTATTATTCCTTTTATACAATAACTGTTTGATACCCTCAATAAATGCTTTATAGTTTATATCATTATATGAACACAAGTTAATAAATGGCTCTGACAATAATACATGACAGTTGTGTTATCTTACGAATGGAATCCATGTAGCTACTAACACCTCTAATTTATATTAATAAGTGTGGTGGGACAGTACCGGGATTAATTATCTCTTTAAAAGACACAGCTATGTGAATAACACTAACCATATTGTGCCCCTGCTCCTTTAACACAGACTACAGCCCCTGTTCATCTACACACTAAAACTAAATCCCACCCCCACACACTGCAACCCCTATTCCCCCCACAAACTACAGGCCATCTCCACACACACATTACACCACAAGGAACCATCAGGATTCATTACAACTGTTTAGACAAACAACTAATACATGTTAGACACTAATTGGATGACTCTACCCCTTACAAAAATGTTGAGTGTGCACTCAGGAAATGGTCTTGAACAGCCCAACAGCCTCAGCATTCATGTTTAGCACCCCGGTTCTCCGACGAAAAAGGAGAAACAAAACAAAGGGGATGAAGCAGCACTAAACAACTGACCAAATGAAAGTATGGGAGGAAGAACTCCTGAAAATTGGGGTATCCCTCTAACCTTAAAATAACTGAGAAGACAGAAAAAAATACAGGTTGCGCCAAAATAGAAATTTCAAATACTAAAATAAAATAATAAAAGATTATAGCTGCCACCACTACACAACTGTGAAACTACTGTCTTTCCCTGAAAATAAGATTGGGTCTTATATTAATCCCAGCCCCCCCCACCAGGGCTTATTTTCAGGTTATGTCTTATTTCAGGGAAAAACGGTAGCATGTGCTAGAAAGCAGGCCTACGCTCGGGGGAAACTAGCAGGGACTAGGGCTTATTTTCGGTGTAGGGCTTATATTACAAGCATCCCCCGAAAATAATCTAGGACTTAATTTCGGGGGATGTCTTATTTTCGGGGAAACAAGGTACCGTCAGAGGGATATGCTGCAAGTGGGGGTTTTATACCACTGCATGCAGTTTTACCTAGAGCTAGTTATTGCTCTATTATATGTGAGTTGGCATTTTTAAACCTCAGTGTTGTCTGTAGTCCATCTTATTTGCCATATTACACTATTGGTTCCTTCTGTTTTCTGCTTTTTTTTTACATACGCTGCTACTGAGTGGAACTGTTTCAAGGACTTCATATAAACATTTAAAGAAGTGTCATTTTAGGACTGTTTCTTATTCTCTGGTATTTTATCGGACTTCTTATTGTTAATTATTATGTGCTCTATTTTTTACAGTACCCTTTTAATTAATCTTTTAAAGGATAATTGGCATTCTCTTTTATTATTTTTTTTAATTCTTTATTTTGAGGTGCAGTATCAAATACAGCAGTTGGTAATGACTTGTAGCATATGAACAATAATTAGAATAGAAGCAAGGAAGTAGATCAGAAAATGTCAGGATAAACTGCCCTTTTTTTAAGTAGCAGGCAAAATATTCATGTCTAACAGGTCCTTCCATTTTTAGATCAGTTAGCTAAGATAGTTGTCTAGGTAACAAGAATATGAAAACAGTATCTCTATACATCGTGCTAACTAGGTATCACTACATGGTAAGAACAGCTTGTAGGCTTAGGGAGACCTCAAGACAGGACAGACTAACGGAGTAGAAATATTTATACAGGCTGGTCAATCATGTTAAAATAACTTCTGGGTCACTGGGTACTACACACATTAAAAAAGAGTAAAAAGAAAAATATATATCTCTACATAGGTAACAGGGTGTTAGCAGTGACTATGTAGGTGAGCTAGTGAGGTTTCATGGGTTTATATAATGCCACGGGATACATAATACCTTCTCTCACCTCTTGGTATAACACAGCACCAGTCGGGCCTCGCGTTGGTATACAGGCATTCGGTCTGCTGTGTGAGGAACTTTTCATATCTCGGTGTACAAACTGGAAAGGGGGCCGAGTCCAAATAGCCCTGGATCCTTCATTTAGCAGGGCTTGACAGTGTTCCGGGATACCCTCCGGGTATATATGCAGATGATCAGAAGCAGATCAAGATTCAGAGGCAGATCAACGTTGCAGCAGTGATTGCCTTTTAATTGCATTATCCACCGTGTTGCCCCTTAACCCAGCCTGCAGTCTCTATTTCCCCAAACACACAACATCTCCCACCCTCCCCACATACACACTACAACCATTTTACCTGCACCTCAAACAACAAACATCCCACCACACACATGTAACCTCATAAGCAGACTACAAAAGCATATTACGCTACGGGCAGCCTACACGCTTACAAACACCACTCCCAAATCCTTTCCCTCTTTTGTCCTGTGGTATTCCACTTATGAAGTCACAAAATACATGTCACTTTTAATTTGCTTGCACTATGCTAAGCAAACACAGGGCATCACACGGACATGTCCACCTTTGGGGGCATGCATATAATTTGTGATGACAAAACACATCCCCTCTTAATGGTCTTTTCTGCTATTAACTGTTTGTACCAATTGTTTATCCCAGTGCTGTGCTGCATATGATTTGCAAAGCATCATGGTAGATGTGGTTCTAGGAGAGCTGGGGTAATAATTTATTTCATTTTCATATCCACTGGAAATAATCGATATGCAAGATGTGTACATAGCTAACTTTCCTGTTCCATGTGTGTTTATATGATATACAAGGTCAGGGGTAGGCAACCTTTCAGCAGCACTGTGCCGATATAGGATTGTGATGTCTCGTAGCGTGCCGGTCCTGTTTTTTTAAATTGAGGTGTGTATGTTACTGTATTCTGCTTGTGATATTTATACTGCAGTAGCTTTGTATCATTGTATTTGTGCGTATATGAGCTATTATATTGTATATGTTGGTGAGTAGTTTGTGGTATTGTGTATCTATGAATGTGGGCTGTGTATAGGGGCTGCTTGTGGAATTGTGTGTATGGATGGATATATCACATTGTGTGTTTTGTAGTGTGTGTATATATGGGGCTGTTTGGGGTATTGCATGTGGGGTTGTGTGCATGTGTATGGATTGTCAGTGGTGTTAAGTTTGTGCGGATTGTGTTGTGTGTGGGCTGCTTATACATGTATGAGGGGAGGGTTATTCTGCAGCTCTGTATATATCTAGCCATGTCGGTGGCTTCCCTGGGTTCCAGTGGGGACCTGGCTGGCCATATACATGTCAAGGGCAGGAGCTACAAAAGCTGTCGAGGACTGCTCTACTAAAGTGTGGATTCCTGTTCACAAGTGCTGGGAGGAAGTGATCTGAGATCATTTCCTCTATGTGCTGCAATGCATAAATTGAGGATTGTCCTTCACTACCTTTTTGTATTAGCAGAAATCTTAAGTTTCACTGGGACTCTTGCTTGGCTCTAGCAGCCTTGAGTGCCGTGCATGGCACAGGTGGCCTAGGTTGCCTACCCCTGTACTAGGTGATAGCTGCACATTTTAAATCTCTGTATTATTTTCTCAAAATCCAGTCATGGTATACACAATATTATCCACATATGTTCTGTAAGAGAGCTTTTATTCTTTTTTGTATACATATTGCTTTTCATTTTATTTGGTAAAAAACTTGTATTAAACATAAAAAATAGAGAAATATTACTTCCAAAACATATTAAAAAGACAAAATATATATTTATGACAGTTTTGCTGAACAAACAACAATCCAAATACCATATCAATTATTGTTACAAAACATGTTTTAATTATACTGATCTCTTCAAATTTCTTCTGAAAATTAACAAAATCACTATTTTATTTCACAAATAATAGGGATGGCCAGAAGAAGTTATGAAATTAGACCTGTCATGATTCAGTGTCTCATAAACCTAGTAATTTACTGCTCCAGAAGTTCCCAACGTTCCATTGTTTAAAGAGATGGCAATGGCAAGTATATCTAATTTAACACTTTAGGAAAAAGGCAAAACAAGCTAAAAGTAAGGACCAAGGCTTTTTTCAGATGAATGCGTGTGTGACCAAGGCCTTTTCGGTGTTTTCGTCATGAATTTTGGGTAGATACTTAAGAGATTATAAAGTATCATATATATTACGATCATTCCAACAGGTTTAGAATAATTAGTACAAATATGAATTTTAGAAAAGAAAAAAAAAACTACAGATAGAATAGAAATATTAAAAAGAAGTGTTAAAATATTCCTGCATTTGTATTTATAAAGAATGTGCAGGTATTTGTTGCAATCCACTTTCCCAAAATGCAAGCAGAAGGTACAAATTATGCCATTATATGGACATGTCACAGAAAAACTTCAGATTGCGTATTCATATTTTGGGTATTCGAGGGATATTACGGTGAGACATTTAAAGAAGAAAGTATACATAAAAAGATATAATCCAATCACTTTAACATATACATATTTATTACAGATTACATTTTTATTTTCAAGTGTGTTGCAAGCTGTGTATATACCCAGAGCATGCTTAATACCCCCTCACATGTCTGCTATTCAGTGACGTCCAGTAATTAAACCTTGCACTGTACAGGTGTAAAAGGTAAATGTGAAATCCAATTCTAAATAAAGTATCCGTAATGTTGTAAACATGCGATTGGTAATAAAGGGGTTCAAACCCTATAAACTGCAGGTTGGATGGAATACTCAGTCATTCTACATAATGCCTGAAAGCTAGCAGTCAAAAGCTACAATAATGTAAATAGATAAACAAGATTTTACAAATCTCATCATTGGTTTATTAAAAGGCTTAAATTAGTAGGTTTTTAACTTTTTCCTATTTATTTTATTTAATAAAAATAAAAGTGGAAGAGAGATAGCTAAATAAGTACAGATCGACGAACAGACTAAAATTGCCGCCATCAGAGAGGTATGGCCCTCATTTCACAGTTAAACTGATCTCCTAGAGTCCTTCCATTGTCAACCAACACAATCTTGCCATGGCAGCTATCACATCACTTTTTGGGGGATGATTTGCTACTAAACATTCCTGGCATTTTAAATGTTCTCTTTTGTTTCTTTCCATTGTCGTCTTTCTGTTCCATTTGATTGTTCCCTGCAAAACAAAGAAAGAAGCAAAGAGCTATATCTAATTTTCAGTATATTATTCTCTTCCTCAGAGTAGAAACCTTTTAATGTAAATAAAGAGATATTTAATTATCCAAACGATTTATTGTGATTATGGCTATTATTATCGTATTCTGAATCTTATTAAAGTAGGAACCATACAGAATAATCAATACAATGTTCATTTGTTTTGCTCCAGACCTGTATATTGTGTGTATCCAATGGGATTTGCAATATATGTTTAAGTGTCATTAATTTAAATAAACAGAATATAAAAAAATACAGTCATGTAATAAATCTAATATTAAACCTTTTGGTATTGTACGCTATATTCATTCACATAGCATCACCGATTGTATCTCTTTTTGTCTGTATCACGTTGCTTGTGAAGTCAGAGGATGAATTTGAAAAACAAAGTTGTGTTTCTAGCTCTGTACATTGGCGAACTTAGCAGTGAGGCAGCAGGACTGGACTAATAGCAAGGTCTATGCTAGAGGTCTATGGACTGGTGAGAGCAACAATCACATAGAAAGTTAAAGTTCACATTGTATCAGCTTCCAAATGAAAGAAAGTTTATATAATTTTCTAACCTTTAATATGTATTTCCCAGATTCATTAAAGGGACACTAGTCACCAAAACAACTTTAGCTTAATTTAGCATTTTTTTTTTTTGTATATAGATCATGCCTCTGAAGTCTCACTGCTCAATTCTCACACTCTCTATAGTAGTGTACGGTCAGAATATAATTTCTACATATCAGTCTGTGTGTGTAATTGTGTGTATTGTCTCACACAGCTGGTCACTTAATACATCCACCCGGACAACTCTCGCCATTTACCCGATTAGTTTAATAACTTAAAAATCATTACACCTTTTACGTCCTTTGAAAGTAAGAGTCAAAATAAAAGCAACACCATAGCTCCACTTATGACATTAACTAGCTGACCATTAGCGCTGTATACAATAAATTTAATTACACTTGTCTTGCCCCAGAAAAGCATTAATAGGGAATAATACTTCATCTTTTGGGTAGTGCAAGTGCTAAAGTTATTTCACGAGACGTTTCTGATCTACTTAGTCAAAGAAATGAAAAACTATAACTATGGTTTTGTTATATGTTGTGCACTGTGTGTGCATTGCCGCCCCCCCGCCCCTCTCCAAAGTATAGTCTATAACACCTACCTGAAGGTTAAATACACTCTATGGATACAGTAAGATACATTCTATGTCCTATCATATTGCTGCACATAAATAATTTTCCTGTTGGGTCACGGTAGTAGTTAGAACTACAATGTGAGCATATTAGAATCACAAACATTCATTTTAATTAACTAAGATGACATTCATCCTTCCTAGTAGCAAACCTGTTCACAGAATTGGCATTGATCGCAGGAAGTCTTTTATAACACAAATTAAAAACTCACCATTCTCTGTAGTTTCAGTAGAATCGGTGCAGCCAGGAGAACCATTATTTTCCTTCATGGATGATTCATGCAACAGCCTCTCACCTGCCTTATCAACAATGGAATAGTCACCTGGATGAGATGAATGCATTTTAATTATCAATATCTGTATGATCACAGAGAGGTGGACTCTTTTATAATGACACCATAACTAAATTATTTTCATTAACGGTGTTGCTGCCCCCCCACAAAGTATAGTCTATGTCACCTACCTGAAGGTTAAATACATTCTATGGATACGGTAATATACATTTTATTTGCTATCTTATTGCTGCACATAAATCATTTTCCTGACAGATCTGGTGGCAATTAGAACTACAATATGAGCACATTAGAATCCCAAACACTCATTTTAATGAACTAATATGACATTCATCCTTCCTAGCAGCAAATGTGTTCACAAAATTGGGATCGATCACCGAAAGTCTTATCTCACTAATAACAAACTCACCTTTCTCTGTAGTTTCAGGAGGATCTGAGCACCCAGGAGGACCATTACATTCCATAATGGAAGATTTAGGCAACAGTCCCTCACCTGCCTTATCAATAATGGAATAGTCACCTGGATGAAAGGAATACATTAATGATCAAGAGACTCTTTTAAAATGACACCATAACTCGGTATTTCAATTATTCTCACTAACATGGTAAACCCTACTGTGCCCATTATTCATATGGAATATTTAATAGGAATAAATAAATATATTACTGTTTAAAGATGCTCCGTTATAGGTATAGCATAACGTCTTAGCAAGTTCACTACGATTTACTTTAAGCTGGAGCGAAGGTTAAACAAACGACGAGTTGCAATCTGTCAATGCTGCTGTGATTAATGCAATAGCTAAATGTCACATTTTTAAATGTCTGCCAATGTAATCTCCCAATGGATCTATCATTAAAGGATAAATGGTGACTTTGCTTCCTATTAATTAATTAATGCAAGCAGCTGCAGCAAATAAACCCTGTCTATGACTAAAGCAAGCACTAGGCAGCCCTAACTGTGTTTCACAAACAATTACCGAAGAGCGTCCCACAGTCAGACCAAGAAATATATTCTATCGGAGATTAATACAATGTATCATCTCAAGGTTTGCTTGTGAAGTCCAATATCACCAGTAGGGGGCTCTCTCCTAATATGCATTGTGGATGGCGTACCTTTTTTACGTACGATTATCTTCTCAACCGGAGATTCCATTGATTCAAGTTTCACTGATACTTTGAAATATTTGATATGATCCTGAATACTCTTTTTTGCTTTATATTGGCTGATTAATTGGTTAATGCCACCCCCAATATCGGCATATTTATTGATAAGTTCAGAATCAGGGTACGTTTCGTAAGACTTTTCAGATTTAGATCGACTCCACGTTACTTCAATATTTTGTTTTGGGAAAACTCTGACGTCCGCCGTTAGCAAGTCATGTGACTGTGCATACTCGAAGAAAACATCAAAAACGTGGATTCCTGATGATATAAAAAAATATACAGCGTTATTATACATGGACTTAGAATAATATTATCAGTGTATAAATCCAACACGTATTAAATTCAAATACTTCTACTTAAAGTAGCATATGTGATGTCATATTTCTACACAGCAATATGTAGAAGAGCCATTATGTTTGTGTAGGAGAAATAGTTACTGATTAATTTACTTCTATTTATAATGAAACTATTTACATGTCCTCAATAAAAAAAATATGGATTATGCTTGCTAAAGGGACACTGTCGGCACTATAAACATTGCATCTCATTGAAGTGGTTATAGTGCCTGGAGGCCTGGCCCTAGCACTGTCCCTCCATTCAGTATTAAACCATTTTCGAACAATTTGTTATTTATTTATTATTCTGTCTTCTAGATCAAAATTATACAGTCATGCATTATTTATTATCTTATTAATTATTTGATGAATATGGTTTTCTTTTGAGCAATTAGTTTACCCATTGCTTCATACAGGTGTCAGGAAGTTGGCTTCACTGTTGTAGAGCTGGACATGGATGTAGTAAGAATCATCACTACTTGAACAAGCCCACAATGTAGCCATTATCCTGTGGAGAACCCATGGGACAAAGCATAACTACAGTCAGGTTTAGTCCAAGTGGATGACGGGTTGCACAGGGTCATAGTACAATGGGTGGTCCCACGTACAGGAGAAGGTTGGACAGGATATAGGTAGAGGAATATAGGAGTTATCCAAGGAGTAGGTGAGCTACAAGCAAATGGGCATCAGGAAAACTAAGCGCAATCATTTGAGATTTCTAGTCTGAACCTGAGAAAGAGTGAATTGGCAATGCTTTAACTACTGCACTGCGTAGCCAACACAAGTGCAGATATAATGTGAGACATGGCATGCTATTGTATCATCTAATGTGTGAAAATTACAAACGGAATCTCTGACTGCTGCAGACTCCATGCCAGGGGGAGGTTACAGTGTGATCCTGGTTGTTATAGTCATGGGACTCTGTAGCTACGGCTAAAAGAATAATATTTTTGTAGTTTACTGTGGATATCGCCTGCACCTGCTTATAAAATTCCTAGGAAAAAGCACTACCTATCCAAAAGATTCATATTCCACAGTGGACCCACCTCTCACATTTAGTTCTCCTGTTCTTTTCTCCAAGGGTCTCTCCATACTGGGATGTCCCACCCGGCAGATGAATTCTGCTCCATGATCAGTTCTCCCGGACACTGTGACAATCAGACTGGCTGTACAGGTATAAGTCCGATCCTCCTGTCTGGTTACATCCATCACTGGAAGCTTGTATTTCTCACTGGGAGACACAAGGTACAGTTCCTGCTGTCCAGGTTCCCTCCTGAACCATTTGACATCCAGATTATCAGTGAAATTGCCCGAGATTGTACATTGCAGTTTGGCCTCAGCGCTGTGTATCAAATCCGGTATTATTATATCTCCTATCTGAGGGCGCCAAGGGAAGTCTGTAACAAGAAGGGATTTTAAAGGAACAACTGGAAAAACATTCTCTAAAATAGTAGCATTACGCATGGACATTTTATTGTATTTATTATCAAAAAATTTGGAGTTAAATTCCTGCCCAGAAACATTTAAAATATCCTTAACCTGTTATGGGGTGGGAATAATACTTTAATTCAAAATGGTTCATTAGCATAAAAATTCAGAAATCTATTTCAAATATATACATAATATATCATTTAAAATGTAGCTGCAAGCTGCTTTGATAATGCTCCAATAATATTTCAAATAGACACTCAAAAATGCCAAGCCTCCCTCAATATAGCCATCTATAAGGGACACCAAAAGGTACAAACATCCATACAGCACAAACTGAAATTCACTTCAGAAAAAATACATCCCATTAACAGAACAAAATTACTGAGCTGAACGTCCACTCAAGGATTCAGGTTGGACAATATCCCCAGAATCACATAATAAGGAATGTTTCAAACCTTTCCTGCAACTTACAATAAAATTCCTTTAGAATCCTACCGAGTGTCTGGGGTATGTTTAAAACTGAATTATTGAGACTTTAGATGGAATCTATCCTTTAGTACCACAGATAAGATATCGGAGTGCAGAGAATTTCCAGAAAAAGAAGAGAACACAGCTAACAGTGTCAACAGTGATTTGTTTGGAACTGCCTGCATTTTCTGACCAGGCTCACTGATTTGTCTTGCTACAATATATCTAAAACAAGAGACTGGAAGAGCCCCATTACCTGCTGCAGACACTTCCTTGGTTTCAGAGTTATCCATGGATTCATGTTTCCAAGTAACACGAACTTTAAATCCAGGCTCATTGAATAGTTTTACGGAGATCCTGCATTCACTTTCAGCATCAAACATGTTCTGGGGATTTTTTGTAACTATCTCCTTAAAGGTCTTCAGATCCTGATAATGTCCAACTCCACTACTCCATGTTATCCGAATATCTTTAGGACTGAAGTTCATCAGATTGACGGAACAGAGCACATCACCCGAGTCACACAGGGATAGTTTGATAGGCGTCTCATGGAATATTTGGGGTTTTACTAGGAAATAAAGCATAGAATCAGTAGAAATTTGAAATGTCTCCAAAGATTCCTTACCTATAGAGTGCTACATTTTCTGATTTCATTTTCTTAGTACATTAATCTTGTCACATAAACAACAATTTTGTAGTAGTACTCAAGAAAATAAATCTCAAACTTACATAACATAGGGTTCCAGACGATTGTTTGCCATTTGGTCTGCCCGTCGCAGTTAAATATGCAGACAATGTCTTTCTTCTTTTCATCTGATAGGTTGGCTGTCATAATTACTGCTGTGATAACATTGTGCATCCCACTAACCCGTGAATGGTCAGTTTTTATGGTATAATCACGGCTCAGCAAATTCTTCTCCTCATCCACGGTTCCTCCATATGACTTTTTGTTGCTCTGTTCATCATGATCCTCCACAATCCATGTCACCTGGACCTCCTTTGGGCAGTTGAAAGCCATACAATACAGGGTGATCTTTCTATCCTCACCCCACATCTCAGGCCTGTATATTGGACTCACTACAAATCTCTTGAAATCTGTAAAAACAAAGATCTCAGAGTCAGGAGAAAAATAGTTAGTTCCAGGACCTTAAATAGAGATTTAGTGAGCGACATTCCATTTATACTGTATTGCATAGAAAGCAGCCCATGAGCACCGATGTTCAAGCCTTTTGTCAAAGAGACTCAAAATATCCGGTACATCCAAAAAAGAACATTTTGTGATGTCATCAAAAGTTCATTTTTGCCAGTTAATTACATGTCATAAAGTTCTAAGATATTTTGTAGCTCTGTATTGGACAAGTGTTTACATCGCATTTATTATTATTGGCATTTCATTCTTAAACCAGCATTATGTATCTGTTCAGTTACACTGCAAAGAGGATCTAAACAACCCTCAGACATTATAGGTTTTTCATAGATAGTGTGCCAGGACTCCTGAATGTCCCCGCTGCAAAGTGTAGAAGCAGCAAAGCAATTAGCAAAGTCTGTGCCACCGGGGATAAAAGATAATGTTACGGCTTGAGGAAGAGTCAAAGCAAGGAAGAAACCATATACCCTCCTGCAATTTATAGCGTCTGTGTGTTAATGGTTGCTTTAAGCATGGTATAAAATAATATCAGTAGTATTAGGTATTGTACCAGTGTAAATGGATTTAGATTTTCATATGGTGATATGGACGGTTGTTGTGTATTGATTACTGGTTTGGGAATCACTGATAACGTGCCACAAATCCTAAACACAACGTAGTGGTGAATTCCAATATTCAATGTAATTCCAATATTCAATATCCAGGGACTCACAGCTGATGTTGACCTTGATAACATATCAAGCAGCGGCCTATCACTGCAGCAACAACTATTGGTAATCATGTTTAGTAAATTAACCTACACTCTCCATATTTAATAGGCATAGCCACTATGGTGCCCAGAGAGTGTCCTTCTATTGTCCCATGGATAATGTGGAATTAACACTTCTGTATTATATATGTAAATTCTCTCCAACCTTGAAGGCAGTGATTAGATGAGAGTGCTAAGTTGACATGACATTAATAACATATTATCGGTTTTACCATGTAATTAAAAAGCCCCAGGTTATGTTGTACTGTCCACAAAACGATGTTAAACTGAGGAATGGCACCTTGACACTCCCAATATTATCACCACAAGGAGCTGCATCGTTAATTTGTTTAGAGTGTACCAATCCTGGAAAAAAATGAATTTAAACATAAATGAAGAGTTGGAAAAAATCTCCAGGTCAGCCAAGTGGTCGATTTTTTTCCAACAAGGCTATTTTGTATTTTGAGGTGGTTGCCAGCTGGACATTGCTGTGAATTAATACATTAAAAACATTATTTCCAGTGTCTTTGCTTACAAAACGCAGATCATAAAATGACTCTTACATTTTTTCTTGTAGACGAAATACCATAATAACGCACAGATAACAGCCAGAGTCGCTATAATGGTCAGAACCACGGTTAAACCAAGACGAGAGGACTTGTTATGGTCACCTGAAGATATAACACAAGTGGTCAGCATAGATATAATGATTTAGCCAGAGATTTACCATGCAAGATCTTATAAGCCATTTTTACTAATTTCCAACCCCTATGCTATTATTCCATGATGGCAGATATATGGAGGTCTGTGATGCAGTTCCCTAGGTAGCATACAAACTATATGTGTATGGCCAACACCTGCACATAGTAATAGCCATGTACCAGGTATGTGAAGTTCTCCCCATAAAGCCTTGCTTCTGTTTACTATTAACTTATTTCCAGTTGAGTGGTCATGTAGGAACTTGTAATAACAATAGGTTAACACAGCATTCGGAAGACGGTAGAGCTGTAGTTCTAATCCTTATGACTAGGACTATTTAAAGACACAGTTTCAGTAAAGATATTCTGATGCTACGTTTCGAAGGCTAGTTCTTTCAAAACCCGTTACGTAATGTAGAAGTGACTCTAGTAAATTTAAGGGACAGAAAACAGATCAATAAAATGACCATAAACCTATATATAAGCATTGCTCTTTTTTCAGTTAAAAAAAACACATCTTTAAATACATCTAATCCTGCAACAACAAAAAATAATAAAATAAGCAGAAATTTATAGTAAACACCCCACTTAAATTATAGAAATGATTGCATCAAATCTGTAGTCCACAAATGCCTCATTCAGCAAAGGCTGTCCATCTCCTGGTAGCAAAGGTAGGTCAGAAAAATGTAGGTATTCAAAATATTTTTTTAATCTAAAAATAATGAGGTTCATGTAGGTTAAAGGGACACTATAGTCACCTGAACAACTTTAGCTTAATGAATCAGTTTTGGTGTATAGAACACGCCCCTGCAGCCTCACTGCTCAATCCTCTGCCATTTAGGAGTTAAATCCCTTTGTTTATGAACCCTAGTCACACCTCCCTGCATGTGACTTGCACAGCCTTCCATAAACACTTCCTGTAAAGAGAGCCCTATTTAGGCTTTCTTTATTGCAAGTTATGTTTAATTAAGATTTTCTTATCCTCTGCTATGTTAATAGCTTGCTAGACCCTGCAAGAGCATCCTGTATGTGATTTAAAGTTCAATTTAGAGATTGAGATACAATTATTTAAGGTAAATTACATCTGTTTGAAAGGGAAACCAGTTTTTTTTTTCATGCAGGCTCTGTCAAGCATAGCCAGGGGAGGTGTGGCTAGGGCTGCATAAACAAAAACAAAGTGATTTAACTCCTAAATGACAGTGAATTGAGCAGTGAAATTGCAGGGGAATGATCTATACACTAAAACCGCTTTATTTAGCTAAAGTAATTTAGGTGACTATAGTGTTCCTTTAATAGGTCACTGGGTACATTTGGAACTTACTGTAGTATTCAATATGCTGGGTTTTAATTATAGGACTTAATAACGTCTCATGCTCCACCTCACAGGAGATATCTGCCGACTGGTTTTGCGATGAAAAATGAATACGGTAAAAACTTTCTTTATTAAAAGTGCCGTCTGCATTTCTTCCAGATGACTCGATCCTTTTTCCATTCTGCCTCCATTTGACTGTCACAGGCTCAGGGTAAAACCCTTTCAGTTCGCAGACAAAGACTCGTTCCTTATGTTCTGGTATCTCGGAAGAGAAGATCTGTACGGTGGGGGGCACTAGAAAGAAACAGAGACATTTAGGATCCAGAAAAGCAAATAGTCCTTAGTTTCAATGTTAAAACTTCAAAAAGTTGCATTTATTATGAAAACAAACGGCTAATTCTTATACTTGTTAATTGTAACAATAAGAGAGATTTTTTTTGAACATTCTTATTGCAGAGTAGGAGTCAGGTGCAGCAAAGAGGCCTAGTATCACTCTGCATACAGTAATAATCGTATATCAGTTGTGAATGTTGTCTCTTTAGGTGCTCGGCAACAACCAGCTGAGCATCATGGGATATGTAGTTCATAGCATTACCTGATCCATGAACCTGCTGACAGAGGAGCCAACAAAGGTTTGGTGTAATTAGCTGTAATTAGTGGTGGGGTCAGTGGGGGAGGTTAAAATTTATCAAAGAGGGGCAATCTAATTTTACCAAATGAAGTAACTGGCTGATGGGTACTGTTCACACAGCAATGTTCAAAGTAATCTCTACAATACAATACCTGCCTCAGTCAAAATGTACAAAAAGAAACGCGGCACTAATCATTAACAGTGATTGGACAATTTGAATAATATTGCAGTTGTTTCAACAAGTGGTTTAAATGTAAAATAAATCTTACTGAAGCAGTAACTAGACTGATATTATTTTTGCAAATGTCAGCTTTTCTCGAAAGACTACATAATTGTAATGGTACTTACCCGGTCCACATGCCAGCAGGGGTCCTCCGATCAAGCCACATGTGGCTCGAGCTCTCCTGCCTCCAGGTGAGCCGCATGCGGCTCGAACACTCCTGGCTGCCTGCCTGCACCGGACAGTCTGATCGGGCGTGCGGTCCTTACAGTATTAGGAACGCTGCTCGGGTTGCAGGCACTTTCTTAAAGGGGAAATGGAAGCCTATCCTTGCGGTCGGCTCTCACTGGCCCATGTCATTCCGGCGCCCCCATTGACGATCGTTTTAGGGCGCAGGCATGACGTGGACCAATCAAATTCAACATAGACTTATTCCAACTTACCTGGCCCTAGATTGTGTGCAGTATTGTGGTTTCTGTTCCCACTACTCTTTAGTGCGTTCCTTGTATTATTATTTCTTTGGCTTTGTTTCCTGACTCAGAGTTTCTCTTTGAACCCTTGCCTGTCTTGTTTGCCCTTCTGATTATTACCGTGTAACTGACTCTGGCTAGTTCTCGTTTTCGCTGTCTCTCCGTTACCCTGACCTCGGTTCGTATTTCGACTACTCTTTAACCTATCTAACGTTAAGTCTGGCCACTCTAAGACATTTCTATTTCATTCGTCCGTTCCTTGCTATCCTAAACTCTGCGTGTTAGGGTTATACTTCGTGACAATAATAACATAATGTAATTCTGTAAATTAAGGCAGATCTTTAACAAGACGATCCCGGGCCTTTAAACAGTAAATGGTACGTGACTTTCTAGTGTAATTATGTCATACATTGTACTGTGCAAGTATGTTTCCATGTTATCCTATGCAGACACAATTTCTACAGCTCCAGACATCATTATCTTTCGGTATTCATTAAAAATATAGAATATATATATATTGATGTATCAAGTGGTAGAACATTGTTCTTACCTCCATATATTACTGTGTAACTGTCCTTTATAGGAGTTGTTTGTGATTCATGCTCCACCTTGCACTCGATGAGCAAGTTATCTTGGGTTGGGGTGATAATCAAAGAGCTGTTTACCCTATAGGTGCCATCTGCATTCCTCTGGGGTTCTTTCATATCTGTTGGTATAGGAAGAGGAGATCCATTCCTCAACCAGGTCACTTTAATTTTCTCTGGGTAGAAGTCTGTGATCGAACATTGAATCTGGTTTTTGTGATTTTGTAGAAGAGCTTTCTTGGTTATTTTGACTACTGGAGAAGCTGAAGGAAAAACAAATCATTATATAATATTGATTGGGTCCAGGCAATCATCAAGCAAACAAAGAATTGTGCTCCGTGACAGTCACATTGCCAACATTACACATGGACATAGAGGGACACTTTTAGAAATTTTAGGTGACTTACTAATAACTATTCATGCAACTAAATGTCATTTAGAACAAGAACAATGTATCTTATTTACATAGACTGGTTTCTGAACACATTTACTGTAGTTTAAAGATTCATTACTGGGAGTATTATTACTGTGGGGCTCTGTTATACACTCAGACACATTACTGGGAGTATTATTGCTGTGGAGCTCTGTTATACACTCAGACACATTACTGGGAGTATTATTGCTGTGGAGCTTGTTATACACTCAGACACATTACTGGGAATATTATTACTGTGAAGCTCTGTTATACACTCAGACACATTACTGGGAGTATTATTGCTGTGGAGCTCTGTTATACACTCAGACACATTACTGGGAGTATTATTGCGTGGAGCTCTGTTATACACTCAGACACATTACTGGGAGTATTACTGTGGAGCTCTGTTATACACTGAGACACATTACTGGGAGTATTATTGCTGTGGAGCTCTGTTATACGCTCAGACACATTACTGGTATTATTGCTGTGGAGCTCTGTTATACACTCAGATACATTATGGGAGTATTATTGCTGTGGAGCTCTGTTATACACTCAGACACATTACTGGGAGTATTATTGCTGTGGAGCTCTGTTATACACTCAGACACATTACTGGGAGTATTATAGCTGTGGAGCTCTGTTATACACTCAGACACATTATTGGGAGTATTATTGCTGTGGAGCTCTGTTATACACTCAGACACATTACTGGGAGTATTATTGCTGTGGAGCTCTGTTATACACTCAGACACATTACTGGGAGTATTATTGCTGTGGAGCTCTGTTATACACTCAGACACATTACTGGGAGTATTATTGCTGTGGAGCTCTGTTATACACTCAGACATTACTGGGAGTATTATTGCTGTGGAGCTCTGTTATACACTCAGACACATTACTGGGAGTATTATTGCTGTGGAGCTCTGTTATACACTCAGACACATTACTGGGAGTATTATTGCTGTGGAGCTCTGTTATACACTCAGACACATTACTGGGAGTATTATTGCTGTGGAGCTCTGTTATACACTCAGACACATTACTGGGAGTATTATTGCTGTGGAGCTCTGTTATACACTCAGACACATTACTGGGAGTATTATAGCTGTGGAGCTCTGTTATACACTCAGACACATTACTGGGAGTATTATTGCTGTGGAGCTCTGTTATACACTCAGACACATTACTGGGAGTATTATTGCTGTGGAGCTCTGTTATACACTCAGACACATTACTGGGAGTATTATTGCTGTGGAGCTCTGTTATACACTCAGACACATTACTGGGAGTATTATTGCTGTACAGCAAAGGCTCCTGTACAGTGCAATATATCTGGCTGCATATTAAGTCTGTTATTCCAACGAACTGAGAGAGTGCCAACAGAGAAAGGTCTCTTTACTGGGTAAGGAGCCTCACTGGAGTGTAGACTAAGCTAAGACAGGTTTTTTTTTGTGCTTGAAGCGGCTCTGTCATATTGGATTTTCTTTTTGTTTCTCATTCCTTATGCCTCCTGTATTTTAATGATTATACCCTCTCCATTGCCTTTATTTATATTTATCATCTTTTTTTTTCCCTTGATCTCAATCCCTAAATATAGCTACTTTATTCTTTTTTGCCTATACAGTCTGCTGCTACTGATGGGTTTGGGATAAATTTGATTGGCAACTGAAACAGATCCTTGCTTTAAGTTCTGCCTATAGTCAACTTTTATCAACCTGACTTTTTGTTTGAAAGAGAAAAGTAGAAACGCTCCAATGATCATAACAACTAAAGCCCTCTGGGGTGGTTATGGCACCAGGAGTCTCATGGTACCCTCCCAGAATAATCAAACCATTCTTGGACCCCAAGGCAGGAAAGGTCAGATGTGTTCATTGAGCTAAGCAGGTCCAATACAGGACCATGCTTGTTGGCTGAGTCCTCACTCAAGCTTAATTAAATATATACCCACCCTTGACATGTAAATCTACTGTCTTTTCTTGTCTGTCAGGGCTGTAAATAACTAAACACGTGTAAGTTCCTTCATCAGAGATGGTCACGTTGTGTAGAGACAGAGAAACAACTCCATTCTTGAAATCCTGCTCATTTACTGACACTTTCGAGTTTGTGGTCATCCCCTTGTTATCATATTTCAACAATTCAATGTTTCCAAAGTTCCAGAATATCGCCAAGAAATTTGAGTTTATAGGAGGGTTATTGATGCGGAATGTGCAGGGAAGAAGAACAGAAGATCCTATCAACGTAGTTTGAGGGGACTCGACTGTCACTTCTACTCCAGAAGCTGCAAGACAATTTTATGAAGAAACAAGTTTTCACATTACTTGGTCCATTATCATTATCATCATTTTATACAGCTACAACATATTCTGCAACACACTGCAGCAGGTATATAAAACAGTACATAACACACACAAAAAAAAATAAACAACACGAAAAGAGCCCAACTTCCAATTTAGGAGGCAGTGGGCAAAAGAACACAAGAGGAAGAAAATAGAAAAGAGATGGTGTCCTGAAGTGTTACTAGTGTGTAGACGTATAACACCAGATTATTGGTTTCACTTTGAAGAGGCAGACTCACAACAGTTAACACAAGATTATCCTATTTTGCTCCAGGTTTGAAGGCTTCAGGTCAAGAAATTATTTACACTGCAGCTGTACGATTACAATATTTATTTTTTACCATCAGTCAGAAGAACTCACGGATGTTTAAACAGCAGCAAACGTTATTCATTTTTCAATTACCAGCCGGTAATAGGCTGGAGGCCTCAGAAGATTGACCAAGACTCTCTTACTGAGCAAATTCTGAACTTGTCAATCTTTTTCTGAACTGTTTGTGCTTATTTCATAACAGCCACCACATTTCTTTAAAGAAAATTTGCCCCATCCCAACCAGTCCCAGAATGGATATCAGTTTACAATCGCGACTGAAAAATTACAGCAGGCGAAATGTCAACTACAAAATCTCGCAGATTATGCAATCTTTCAGTAAAATATGTTGCAGCATATTACAATTCCATGACATAGGTTGTTATGGGCATATGCAAATATTAAAAGTTTTTGAATGAAAAGTTGTATTTTGCAAACTGACACATTGTTAGAAATGGAATATCTTATTTTTCATACAATGTTTCTTTAATATTATATATATCTGATCTTGAGGAAGACCTGAAGAGGTCGAAACGTCGATCGACTTTATGTAACTTTGTTGGATATTAAAGACCAGTGATTTCTTCTAAAGACCTTAGAGTGCATCTCTTTTTCATTTGTTATCCATACTCAGCATGGGATTGCACCAGGGAATTTTCTTTATATATAGACAACATGAAAGGGTGAGTGCCACTATACAGATATATATATATATATATATATATATATATATATAATTTATTTAATATATCTTTAAACGACTTCTTACCCATATTCAGTGGATATGGAGTTCAGACTTTAGGACGCCATCTTGTTCTAGGCTAGTCGAACTCCCCAAGTCAAGGAATTTCCCGAGTCATGTGTACCCTTACGTTTTAGTCTGAACATAGATAATGTGAAATGACCAAGTTATGGCCTCGTATCTTTGCCAAGTTAAGGTAGGTCCCAACATGACCTAATTGAAAATCTAAAGTATAAATATGTGTACTTGTTAATATGAGGCACAGAGGAGAGATTATTGGAGATGGAGACGCTACTCCATTTTATCATGACTGAGAGCTTGACATGTTTGGGTATGTTATTTTATTTTATTGATATTGCAAGCATATACTTTAATCTTATAAACTCTGCTCTGAATTATTGTAATGGATTACGTTTTTATATGTCTATATATTTTTATTTATTTAAAATATTTGAAAAGACAACAAATTTATTGCTTCCAAGACAATGCCTATTTTTATTGTATTCTCAGTTATTTATATATTTTAAATAGAGGAATTCTAGCTAACTATATAATATTATGGCTAAGACGTCATAGAGGTAAATAGGGGAACCAGCAGCGGTTACAAGGTGAGCTTTAATCAGTTATGTTTTCCCAGCACCGGATATCCTGCATATGACAATCACACTCTGCTCCCTATCCTTTCTAACCCTGCATACCACAGGCTTCCCTCTGCCTCTCCAAAGTAAAGGGTTCCAGCAAAATGATGTTTACCAGTACCCAAACATGATATCACTCCAGGACAGCTAGTAACCAATTACTGAGCTCGGAGTCTGGCAGTAGATATAAAAAAAACCCAATCCCCTTAATTCCGCTAGTGGGGACATAATATGATCTACACACTAAAGACATGAACTATGCTGACAGTTAGCAGCGACCGTTTGCTTGGCGTCCTGTCCTAATACACGTTTTATACACAATTGTAATTTTTTTTTTCTGCATTCTTTTGACATAGGTATCATTTTCAAAATCTTATGCCACACGTGGGGATTATCCCTGAATTTTACCATTTTGGGGCACTATTAAGATTAGTATATTCCACAAAGTAGGCTGAGGAAGACTTTGCAAGCTTTTCCCACATATTCCCAGCTTTCAAACATTGGAGACTGATATTACAGGAGCCTTCATATATACATCAGATATCTATGTAAATGTTGTGAGGGAGGAGGAGGTAAAAAAAAACTGGTGAAGTGAACATAGTGTCTAGGGATAAAGGAAATGGAAACAAGTGGAAAAAGAAATGTGGGGTGTGGTGGAATGTGATACAGAGATAAGGACAATATAGTAAACTGTTCAGGGGCAGACTGAGCACTCGGGCACTTTCAGGGCAGGCAGGGGCCCAACAGCAGCTGAGCAGTATTGGGCATGTTAGACAGATTAGTAGATTTCCATAACTAGTTCACAATAGCCGCTGAGTGCCATTTATAGGCATCTCAGACTGCCAAACCTCTTACTCTGTTAGCCAGCCTGGGAGTCCCTCACCCTCAGCCAGCCAGGGAGTCCCTCACCCTCAGCCAGCCTGGGAGTCCCTCACCCTCAGCCAGCCTGGGAGTGCTGCAGTAACTTCCTGTGTGAGGTGCTCTGTCGGGACAGGATATAACTTCTTACACTGCTAGTCAGGCAAGGAGCCCCCCACCCTCAGCCAGCCAGGGAGTCCCCCACCCTTAGCCAGCCAGGGAGCGCCCCGCCCTCAGCCAGCCTGGGAGCCCCCCACCCTCAGCCAGCCTGGGAGCGCTGCAGTAACTTCCTGTGTGAGGTGCTCTGTCGGGACAGGATATAACTTCTTACACTGCTAGTCAGGCAAGGACACCCCCACTCTCAGCCAAGCAGGGAGCCCCCACCCTCAGCCAACCAGGGAGCGCTGCAGTAACATCCTGTGTGAGGTGCTCTGTCGGGACAGGATATAACTTCTTACACTGCTAGTCAGGCAAGGAGCCCCCCACTCTCAGCCAAGCAGGGAGCCCCCCACCCTCAGCCAGCCAGGGAGTGCTGATGTGTGAGGTTCTCTGCTGGGACAGGATATGACATTACAGCCCCGTCCACTCCACACACATAGCGCAGCTCCTCCATGGAAGTAGAGCTGACTGAATTTTTCTATTTCTGCTACGTTGCCTTTAAATTTTAGATTGACATTTAACAGGTCTAACAGGTCTCACGTTAGTGAAACATGCATTCACAGACATGCCTAAACATTAAACGCACACAAACAAACACACACAGACTTCATTCACTGAACTGGGAATAGTAGATAACCAACAAATGCATTTTCTAAGCCAAAATAACTGATTTGAAAGAAAATCTACATACAAGCTGCCTGCAGTTTCATCAATTCCCCACTAGTTATTGCTTTAGTAAATACAGTCTTGTGGAGTTGTGTGTGTTTGCGTTTTAGTGGTGACATGGGCCCAGGAACGAAAAATGCCCAGCAGCCCAGACTACTGTCTGTCGCACTGAAGCTGTTAAACAATTAATGTTGGTATGGGAGAAGGTAAATAAAGCTGATTGGTAGAATACATTTCACTACACTGAGGTTGTCCTGTGCATAAATAATCTCACTGTAGTGGTTATGGTGCTTGGAGTGTTATTTTACTGCCGGGAAGATGCAGAGACGGTTTACTTCACCTTTATAGTGCAAAGGGTTCGGTAAAATATTAACCAAGCAGTGTTCATTATACTTCTAATCTTTGCAGTGTCAGCAGAGAACAATGAATATTTCGCTCTTAACCCTTACAGTGCCAGAGGGGTCAGCAATGTATTATTCTCTAATTTGTTTAACAGAAGCAGGCGGAAGGAGAGAGGTTACGTGTCAGGGTTTATAAAGACCCTTTCATGGACATGGCTCTAAAACTGGAGCAGCTGTCAAAGGAATATCGCCTATTTATTGTACATTACAGCCACCCGCCCAGCTTGTTTGACTATAGTAAGAGACATGATCCAGATATTTTCTACTAAATAAACACAATGCATTGATCTCCCACCCTCTCACCAAGTAACTAATACAATGTCTTTACTCACTCGGCTGCTGCAATAGCAGAATATAAAGAAACACACAGAGACCCAGCTTCATTTTCTTCGTAAATCCAGCAGCTATTGTCGTCCTGAAATCAAAAGTGAAAGTGATTTTCCTTTGCTTAGTGTGGAATTCTCTTCACGAAATTCTTATCCCAGCTTTACAGCTCCCAGTGGGATCCTCCAAACAAACTAATGCACATCGAACAATCGCATTTACACAAACTATTATTTAGATTCAGGACATATATGTTGTTTTAGGGAGAAGATAATCAGGATATTAATTAAAAAAATTCAAAACTGGTCTGGTTACTGTTTGACTCGCATATCTGTAACAGGGATTGACTTGTTGGGTTGGGATACAATAACATCTCTAGATACCGGAAGCTATTAACCCCTTAAAGGGACTCTCCAGTGCCAGGAAAACAAACTTGTTTTCCTGGCACTGCAGGGCCCCACTCCCATGTTGGTCAAAGGGTTAAAACCCCTTCAATGACTTATCTGAATCCAGCACCGATGTATATGCGCTGGGTCAGGCTCCGTGCACGCTCCTCCCCCACCGACGTCAGCCGGAGGGGTGACCTAATACGCAGGTGCGGCAACGGCCGGGCGCACGCGCATTAGACCTCCCTATAGGAAAGCATTATTCAGTGCTTTCCTATGGGGATTCCGGCGACGCTGGAGGTCCTCATGCATAGCGTTCTAAGCACACGGAAGTCACTCTAGTGGCTGTCTGATAGACAGCCACTAGAGGAGGACTTAACCCTGCAAGGTAATTATTGAACTTTATAAAAACGGCATTAATTACACTTGCAAGGTTAAGGGTGATGGGAGTTGGCACCCAGACCACTCCCATGGGCAGAAGACTCCTATATTTTGCACTATATGTCTGTTCAACCATAATTTACCTCTTTCATATTAAGTGCACCCACACTTATTATTTATGATTTTGTTCAGGAGAAACAGGGCTTTCATTTAATCAAATATTTATATATAGAACACAATTTAATATGAATTAAATCTAAAAAAGTGTGAGAGATGTTTAACCAAATGTTATATTTCATATTCTGCATGGCATTTTAACTGTGAATGTAATAATGCAGCCAGCTTTTACTGCAATAAAATACACATCTGTTTGCTGTGATGTCCCACAAGTACAACTATGAATCCAATCTAAAGGTATTTTCGTGTTTTAGAAAGTAACAGAGTAAAATAAAGAGCTTGCCCATTCCAGTTTTTACACATTGTAATTTGCCACAAATTTTCACTAATCATAGCCTCGTCATTATACGTTTTACTATTTGAAAACACTCATACTTGTGTTCAGAGCAATTTCACAAGTATAAAATCTCCACCAACCCCCCCCCACCCACGTACAGGTTTTATGGAGTTTTGGAAAGTTACAGGGTTAAATATAGTGCTGATAAATTAAATTCTCTGGACTTTTTGCCTGGGTTGTCAGGCAGGTCCCTCAAATTATAATTGATAAAATCACATAATTATGTAGAAATAACACGTAAAATTTATAAATAAATATATATAAAATTTAGTTCTAAGTGTATTTTGCTATATATATATATATATATATATATATATATATATACAGTTGCAAGAAAAAGTATGTGAACCCTTTGGAATGATATGGATTTCTGCACAAACTGGTCATAAAATGTGATCTGATCATCATCTAAGTCACAACAATAGACAATCACAGTATGCTTAAACTAATAACACACAAAGAATGAAATGTTGCCATGTTTTTATTGAACACACCATGTAAACATTCACAGAGCAGGTGGGAAAAGTATGTGAACCCCTAGACTAATGACATCTCCAATAGCTAATTGGAGTGAGATGTCAGCCAACTGGAGTCCAATCAATGAGATGAGATTGGAGGTGTTGGTTACAGCTGCCCTGCCCTATAAAAACACACACACCAGTTCTGGGTTTGCTTTTCACAAGAAGCATTGCCTGATGTGAATGATGCCTCGCACAAAAGAGCTCTCAGAAGACCAACGATTAAGAATTGTTGACTTGCATAAAGCTGGAAAGGGTTATAAAAGTATCTCCAAAAGCCTTGCTGTTCATCAGTCCACGGTAAGACAAATTGTCTATAAATGGAGAAAGTTCAGCACTGCTGCTACTCTCTAGGAGTGGCCGTCCTGTAAAGATGACTGCAAGAGCACAGCGCAGACTGCTCAATGAGGTGAAGAAGAATCCTAGAGTGTCAGCTAAAGACTTACAGAAGTCACTGGCAAATTCTAACATCCGAATCTACAATACTAAACAAGAATGAATTTCATGGGAGGATACCACAGAGGAAGCCACTGCTGTCCAAACAAAACATTGCTGCACGTTTACAGTTTGCACAAGAGCAAAGCTTTGCTGCGTCAGGGCCTGGATGGATTGCTATCATCGAAGGAAAAATGAATTCCCAAGTTTTTCAAGACATTTTGCAGGAGAACTTAAGGCCGTCTGTGTACCAGCTGAAGCTCAACAGAAGATGGGTGTTGCAACAGGACAATGACCCAAAGCATAGAAGTAAATCAACAACAGAATGGCTTAAACAGAAGAAAATACGCCTTCTGAAGTGGCCCAGTCAGAGTCCTGACCTCAAACCGATTGAGATGTTGTGGCATGACCTCAAGAAAGCGATTCACACCAGACATCCCAAGAATATTGCTGAACTGAAACAGTTCTGTAAGAGGAATGGTCAAGAATTACTCCTGACCGTTGTGCACTTCTGATCTGCAACTACAGGAAACGTTTGGCTGAAGTTATTGCTGCCAAAGGAGGTTCAACCAGTTATTAAATCCAAGGGTTCACATACTTTTTCCACCTGCACTGTGAATGGTTTACATGGTGTGTTCAATAAAAACATGGCAACATTTCATTCTTTGTGTGTTATTAGTTTAAGCAGACTGTGATTGTCTATTTTTGTGACTTAGATGATGATCAGATCACATCTTATGACCAATTTGTGCAGAAATCCATATCATTCCAAAGGGTTCACATACTTTTTCTTGCAACTGTATATATATATATATATATATATATATATATATATATAAATATTGAAATACTCAGAATGAAATTACACACACACACACACATATATATATATATATAGGTGGGGGGCGGGGAAGGGAGGGCTGATCGCTCAGCAGAACGGACACTGATCCCTGTAGCTCCTGTTATATACAATCTATTTCATCAAAATAACTGCTGATACATTACATATTTGGCTACTCGGCGAGCAGTGACTACAGGTGACTACAGGTGGCAGCAAATGACATGAAATAAGCAGACAATCCTACAAGACTCATCATGAGCCTGGGCCCTTTCTCCCCCGTCCCCCCCATTGACTGGTGGGTGTTATCCAGGTCCCTCCAGTAAGTCCTCAAGCCCAAAGGCAGCAACACTAACGGATCCTTTCAGCCAATAAAATGGCGGCAAACATTGCTAGGCCTCTTGCAGTGGCCCAGACACAACACACCCTCCAATGGCTGGAGGACATCTTCACAGCTTTAGTGCATAGCGAAGAGAGACAACGGGGCTTCCCAATGCCTTCACAACACCTCTTACCTGCTGTTAAATTAGTTGAAATTCCCTATGTGCTACCGGCAGCTGCTGCACCAAGCAACCACGAACTAGCGCAATGTCTCTCCTCACCAATTGGTGAATTACCAGTTGCCAAACGCAAACAACCATCAGGTCAGGAACTAATTATCTTCAATATACTTAACCTCCACCACTGGGGACCACCTACTCTTGGAGATCGCAGGGAACAGGCTGGGAGATCCTGTCCAGCTATTGCCTGTCTACCTCCTGGGCAGTCAGATGCTCGCAACTGCTATCCTGGGCTGAGGGCCCTGAGGGGGAAAACACTGATGCACGTTCCCAATCCCATGAGGGAATGCCGTCGACATTATGTTGTTGTTGCAGTCTCTTGGGACTCTGCTTATGGTGCCAGGGGTGACCGGAGCAAAGGGAGGTTGGAATGGAAGTTATTCCTAATTTACTTTGTCCATATCTTCTATGTTTCACTAGCCTTGCTTGCTTCTCAGTTTAGATTTTAATTCATGTTATTTTAATTTGCTTTTGCACAAAATGAAATTTTGCATAGTTAATCCCGACCACAAGTCTCTGTAGCGGTATGAGAAGCTATTAGGGTCGCTATCTGTGCCTAATTGGTATTAAACTTAATTGGTGTGTCTCAAAAATGCTACTTGGGCACTATTGGCAACCCTTTCTGGTTTAAACGCATACATTGAGCAGCAGCCTGGACATGTCAAGTATTCACACAGTATCAGATGTTTTTTAAGGTCCTGCTGTGATACTTAGACCACCCAACCATTTCCTGCCTTATGATATCCTAACCTGCATGGGGACTATTATATTTTTGGTGAGCAATTCCCCCAATCCGTCTATTATTATTTGCTCTCCTTTTGTTTAACGATTGTCCTGCAGGTGTGCTTGGCTTGACTCCGGTATTTCTTACCACTCATGTGTGCCTCACATGTTTATACATATTAATGATCACTATCTCCGTGTTTTAAATTCATACTTCACCTATTATGCCTTTTGCGAGGACACGTATGACTATTCTGTTTATATTTCTTGTTTTGTGTAATTTACAAAATGTGCAGCATATTTTGAAATGTCATGCTTGATTCATGTTTATCTAGATCATGTCATATGTCATTGATAACCTACGTATACACCTCTGTAATTCAAAATAAAAAAATGTAAAGAAAAATATATATATTTAAACAAGCAAGTTATACATCTACTGTAAATTCTTGAGAATTCTCACTTTAATGAATTGTCACTATGCAGGCAATTAATTAATCAATCAATCAATCACTTAATGAATGTGTAGTACGTTTCCTTCCTATGTGGTTCAGTTGTAGCCTTCGATTAACGCCTTTGAGCTTGATTTATTAGCTGGAGGTAAAACTGCTGTAAGCTGTATTTATGAGTTACGCTTGGTTTATCGATCCATGATATTTACAATCACAGCTCTCGGTGTGATATAAAAGCATAACTGAGCTCAAGCAGAGTAGTTATTATTATTTCTAAACGTAAGTGCAAGGTTTGTATAATGGGAAACTGGAGTCCTTAAATTATTGCTGCATACAGCCCTGCCTTGTCGTTATTTACAGTTACAACTATTGAAAAATGTTAATATATAAATGCTGAAGATCAGGGCTACATACTCCAAAAGATGTTGGCACTTTTATAAATCTTCATAGTAACATTTTGGATGTCAAACAGACAGCTGGATGGTTCTCCTTCTCACTTCCTTTGAGAGAGTGCATAAAGCGGCAGTGAGGGATTCTTACAGGGAAATGATGGATTCAATGCTTCTCTTTGAGAACCATTATATTGGTGGACAGTGGTGGTATGCAACCGGGGACTTCACCATGATAGATTGGCCCTGGAGGAACTCCTGGGATGAAGTTGAACTGTGTCAAGGAGATGGTCTCCTGCTGGATCAGAGGTAAGAACATATTATTTGTGGACACTGTAAGTAATGAGGCCTTAA